TCCTGCAAGTTTTTCCGTGCAAGCACTAGCTCCTGCTCCGCATTGCTCAGCTACAACAGCGAAACGCGGCCGAACAAGGTCACCGCCATCAGTGCTATGCTTGGCTTTTGGCGATGTTCATGCTGGGCGCAAGGCAATCCAAGCGCGACGAAGGAGCGGGGAGGAAAGCAAGAAAACGAAATTGGAAGGCGAATGACAAAGAAGTTGTGCGCAGGGCCTACCTTGTTGATGGCCTCCGCACGATAATTAGCTAGTTCTTCCTCGACCTGCTTCAGTTGCGCCATGAGGCCCTGGTTGGTGGCCTGCGCTGCCTCCAGCTACAAGAGTACAAGAACGCGGCACATCCTGAGTCATGCGCTTCTGCGAGGAGTGTAGGAGCTTGTTGTCCTGGCCCTGTGGCAGGCCCGGAGACGGGTCAGGGCGAATACAATGTGATGCGACGCGCAGCGCACCTCGGACTTGATTTGAGCTTGCTCGTCTTGATAACGAGCCTCACGCTGTGCCGAAGCGCTCTTGGCTTCGTCCATGCCCTTTTGCAGGCTTGCGAGGGCATCCTCTGATGCCTTGGCAATCGATTTGTACTGCACGACAGAATCCTGCGCAATCTTGAGCTCTGATTGTAGCTGCTTCACTTGAGCCAGAGCATTGGCCAGCTGGTCGCCGCTACCGCTGGTGCTGCCATCACGTCCGGTCGAGCCTGTGTTGATGCAAGCGTTGGCAGCGCACGCACAAGTATCATGAGATGCCGTCGGTGTGTGCATAACAAACAGACAAAGGCGGCACGCAAAAAGGTCAAGCCAAACTGATGTCGGCACACGCGCCTCTCCTCAGCTTCGTGCCCCGCATGTGCACGTTTTTGTTTTTGTTTTTGCTTTCTCCCTGCAATCTGATATCTTTGTTTATCCTACTGAATGGTGTGTGTACCATTGGTGGCTCTTTCTGCAGGCTTGGAAATTGCAAAGCATACCTTCGGTGGCAACTTCGCCCTGATTACGTAGAAGAAGCGTCAGGCGGTTCTCTGCGCTCTGAAGTTGCGCTTTCAGGCTCTCCACCTGCTTCTCGGCACCTTCGGCGCGAGCTGAGGCTGAAGCGAGTTGCTCCCGCGTGCCATGATGCTGCTCTCGCTGCTCTTCCAGCTCGCGGCGCACGGCATCGAGCTGCTTTTGGTGTGCGACCTCGGCGGTCTTACTGATTTTTTGATGTTCCTCCAAACGGTTGCGCGCCAGTTGGGTTTCCTTCTGCAGGGCCTCAATCTGGGAGCTGAGACGGGTACGCATGTCCCCCTCGGCCCGCTTCATCTCGGCTTGCAATGCTTGCAGGCTAATGTTAAGTTGTTGTTGGTTTTGTCGCTCAGACATGAGCGAGTCATTCTCCTGCTGCAGCGTCTTTTCACGTGCCTCCAGCAACGCCTTGCTCTCCTTGGCGTGACTCAGTTGCACTTGAGTCAGGCTGAGCTCGCGACGGGCAGCCTCAAGCTGCTCCTGCGTGTCCCCAACCTGCCGCTCGCTCGCCGCAAGCTGAGCATTGAGCTGGCCCAGGCGTTGTTGGTGTGCTTCCGCCTCCTTGCGCATCGTGTCGAGAGAGGCTTGCAGGTACTTGAGCTGTTGCTGCGCATGGTCGAGTTTGATATCGGCACGACTGCGCTCCATGCGAGCGTCCTCGGCCACTTGACGGAGCTGCTCCATCTCCTCACGCAACATTTTGTCATTCTCACCCTTCTCGCGGCGATAATCCGTAAAGGACTTCTGCAAGTCACGCAATGCCTCTGCATCCGCCTGATTGCTGCCAGCGGCGGCCATAACGACACTGGCGGGCAGCGCTCCCGCGGCAGCATTTGCATCCGCCTTGGTTGGTGTGGTAGAGGTGGCGTCGGAACCAGTGCTATCACTGGGCGCAGTGGCACCCGTCTGCATGACCACGTCGATGGCCGAGTGTGGATCATGGCCATTGGCAGCACACACCTGGGAATACAGAGCCTTGAACATGTCGCGTTGCTTCACAACGGCCTGGAAGAGGCGTTCTTGGTTCTGACGCTGGGCCTTGAGAGCCGACAGCTGCTCGGCTACCGCCTGCAGGTCAGCCTCCATGGCTTGGCGCGTTTGCTCCTCAACCTGTTGATGTTCCTGTTCCCGTTGCGTTTCAAGCTCAAGCACACGCTTCTTGAGCGTGCTGTTCTGCGTCTGGAGCTCTTCGATGGAGCTGAAGAGCTCCATGGCCCGCGATTCGTGAGCCGCAGCGTCCATATCCGTGCTATCGCTGGCACCCAGACCACCCTGCAGCTGTGCATTTTCACGCAAGAGAAGCTGGACTTGTTTGTTCAGGTGCTGAACCTGCTCCTGTAGCACCCGAGACGAGCTTTCGGCACGACTTGCACGTGCCGCATCTGCGCGCCACGTGGACTCGAGACGCGAGTAGGCCGCGGTGGCCTCCTCGAGGGTCTTGGCAAGCTGATCGCGCGCAGATTCGGCGGCTCTGAGATCAGCGCGTTGCTGCTGGAAAATCGGAGCCTGACGTTCTACGTCTTGGACAATAGAGTTGAGCAGCTCTTCGAGGCGCTCGACCTCTTGGCGCTCCAGGAGCAGGGCCTTGCGGGTGTTGAGAAGCTCGGTCCACATCTCCGTGAGAGACATGCCCTCTTTCATGATGGCAGCCGTTGTGGCGGCAGAGGCAGACACCTGGGCGGTGGCGCCCATTGTGAGGTCTTGCGTCTTGCTGATGAGGTCCTGTGCGTTGACCAACTCAGCCTTGAGGGCCTTTTTGTCACTCTCGACCGTGGCCAAGGTTTGACGAAGATCCTCAAGCTCGTGGCGATTCTGGAGCCGTGCCTCTTCAACTTCCTTCTGTGCGGTGGCCAGAGCCGTGCGAAGGTGCTCGACGACGCGCTTGAGCTCGTCAACGCGGCCCTCCGTTTCATCCAGGGCCGACTTGTACAAACCAGCCAGCTTGTCTTTGTTGATAATCTCTGTGCGATAATGCTGCTCACTCTGCAGGCGCTCATTGTGGGCTTCCTCAAGCTGAGCCTGCAGACTCTGAACTTGAGTTTTCAGACCCTCACTGGTGCCACGATAGAGATCCAGCTGCGATTGTGCCGAAGTCAGATCATCCTGTGCCTGGGTATTTTGGCGGCGCAGTTCAGCCATACGGGCATTCAACTCCTTGTGCTCATTGCGCGCTTGCTCATTGAGTGAGGCCAGGTCCTTCTTCAGTTGCTCTAGTTGTTCGCTTGTCAAGGCCGCCTCGTGCTGATAGCGCTCAGCCAGGTGCTGTAAGCCACACCGAATGGGGGGTTGGATTGTAGGTTGTGTTTGGAAGTGAGACAAAAAAATTGAAAATTAAAAAATCACACCAACACATAGAAATAGAAATAGAAATAGAAATAGAAATAGAAATAGCAACAGAAAACGGAGGCCCTTACCTTTTGCCGGGACGCATCGAGGCTGGCACGCTCGCCCTTGGCCACAGCCTCATTCTGCCAGAACCGCATTCATCATGCACACGTTAGACACGGGGGGGGGGGGGGGGACACTTGAGCGACATGCCTGCGCAAGTCTTCACATGAGCGCACAAGGGAAGAAACATACCATCTCCTGGCGCACGCGGTGGAGTTCATCGTATAATTTTTGAATTTCCTCTGCGCGTGTATAGCGCAGTTTGTTTGATCACCCCCGCGGTAAGGGGATCGAGTCTGAAGTGAGATGGCGGGGACGGGGTGGCGAAGCAGAACGGGGCGGCTTACCCGTGCTGCGGTCCAATTGCAACTGCTTTTGAGCCAGGGCTTCACTCTGAGTTCCGACTTGAATTTTCAGCTGATGCTCTGACGCCTGCGTTCGTCAGCCATGGGTGAAGGAAGACCAAAGCATCCAGCGCTCTCCGGCAATGATCAAAAGAGTAGATGCCAGGGTCTAACCTTGACACTAGCAAGCTCGCTCTCCTTGGACACCAGCTGGTTCTCCACCGCATTCAGGGCTCTCTCTTTCTCCTCAAGCTTTTTCTCTGCCAAGACGAGCGTCGCCATGAGGGGTGACTTGCACGATCAACTGGCCGTCCTCAACGCTGAGACCAATAGCGGGTACAAAGGCAAGAGCAGAATTACGGGCGTTCTCGCAAAGTACCAGTTGATTTGAGAGCGGTATCCAAATCACTCGCGTGCTGGGCCTTGGCCGTGACCTTCGCTTCGGCATCGTTGACGCGCTTTTCAAAGTCACTGGCCCGGTGCTCTGTGTGGGTGGGTCGGATGTGGGTGACGTGTCAGCTAAACACGCTGCTCGTCGCTCATGAAGGAAACAGAGCCGTACCCCAGTTCAAGACGGTTGCCTCTTGCTCAGCCAAGACGTGCTTAAGCTCGGCCTGCTTGTCGGCCTGGCCCTTGAGGTGATCAGCCACACGCTCGAGCAAGGTGCGTGTCAAATCTTCGCCCAGGTATGTCTGCAGCTGCTCATCGCTGAGACCAAGCGACTGCTTGACAAAATCCTCATCCATCTCGCCGGGCGATGCCTGCATGCGCCTATATGAGCGACAGTCCGCGACGCGCCTGCAGGCCGTCCAAACAGTAACTCAAACCTCTACATGTCCCACAACGTTTATTTTTCGGTTGAGATGGCCATGGCCTTCAGACAGTGCGTCTCCACCAATGACCCTGCCACTCTACCCCGCTGTCTCCATCACCCCAATGCACGGCCACAGCAACCACCTCGCACCGAGCCGTAATGCTACTACATACATACCGCTCCTCCTGCTCACAGTGCCCCCGCCGCTGGCAGCACTCAACGAGCCAAAGGCATTCAAAAAAAAAAAAAAGGGAGAGAGAGAGAGAGAGAGAGAGAGAGAGAGAGAGAGAGAGAGAGAGAGAGAGAGAGAGAGAGAGAGAGAGAGAGAGAGAGAGAGAGAGAGAGAGATTCTTTGTTCGTCTCAAGCGGTACAACAACACTTCCCACGCTGATAATGACAGTTGGTAGCTCATGCTGTCGTATTTGTCAGATGTTTTGTGCTGCTGGTGGCGCGGACGACGCGGAGTACGCTCGCTCGGTGCCATCCGACGATCGACTCGCAGCTCGGCGACATTGGGGAAGCGTTTGAAACAAGGAGTCACCCCCCGCCTTTTTACTGGTGGCCGTAAAAGGGCGAACATGCCTGCGCGACCTTGCCAGCGGTGTGCCGAGCACTCTGCCGCTCTGAAACGGCCCAAAACGGTGCGTAACTGGGTCACGTGGTGCAAGGGCGCTGCACACCTGCTTCACCCCCGCCCCGCTTCCACCCGGATTCTTTGCGGTGCTCGCTCACCAGCCCGCGCACCCCTATGCTACATTCCATTGATGTGGTTTTATGTGGCTGTTGGTGTTGTGGCTGTGATGTTGCAGGGAGAAGCCGTGTGCCGAGAGTGTTTCTATCTGGCTTTCGAGGAGGAGGTATGCTGCCACCTTTGGCCTGACAAAATGGCGCTCGCATAGGGCCCGGCAGGCTTGGTCAGAAAGCCGGCTTGACTCAGGCTTTGTTGCGTGCGGTTTGCTTAGGTCCATGAGACAATCGTACGCAACGCTCTATTCGAGCGAGGGGATGTGGTCGCCATTGGTGCATCAGGCGGCAAAGATTCGACAGTGCTGGCCTATGTCCTCAAGACCTTGAACGAGCGTCATGACTATGGTCTACAGCTGGTTCTGCTCTCTGTTGATGAAGGCATCTCGGGCTATCGTGACGATTCACTTGAAACAGTCAAGCGCAACCAACAGCAATATGCATTGCCCCTCACCATTGTCTCCTACAAGGTGCGTGTGAACTTAAACCTGGCTAGACGTGACACATTCCACACAAGCGCAGACAGCTCACTCGCCAGCATTCCAACCGTGGGGGACTCTTGACTGATGTTGTGCAGGAGTTGTACGGTTGGACGATGGACGAAATCGTCGCGGCCGTGGGACGCAAGAGTAACTGCACATTTTGTGGCGTATTTCGCCGACAAGCTCTCGATCGCGGGGCGCACTTGCTCAAGGTTTGCCCCCACCCTCGCGCAAGAGCAGAGCAGGATGGGATCAAAACAGAAAATTTTCCTATTGCTCCAGTCGATTCAGACCCTGGGTCGCGAAGACCAGGGATGCCGAGTCGGGACGGTCTACCCTCTCACCTGGCGCTGACCATGTCCGAGCAGGTCAACAAGGTGGTGACTGGGCACAATGCCGATGATGTGGCCGAGACGGTGCTCATGAACATCTTGCGAGGAGACATTGCACGCCTACAACGCTGCACGGGTGAGGCGATGCCGCGTTAAACCTGCTGCTGACCAAGTGGGCTCGATACTTTTTTTTTCCTGTTTTGTCTTTTTTGGCTTTCTCATTAACATGCTTCGATACGGCCTCAGAGATTGTGACGGGCGACGACGGCGATTTGCCTCGCTCCAAGCCGTTCAAATACACCTATGAGAAAGAGATTGTCATGTATGCGTACTTCAAAAAGTTGGATTATTTCTCGACGGAATGCATCTACGCGCCCAACGCCTATCGGTACGGAGTGCCGCAAGGCGCTGGGGATGCTTGAGATATTTAGGGACGCGGGGTGGGCCAATTGTCAGGCGGTCATATCCCACGGGGCTACTTCACGCTTCACATGAGTTTTCTCATGGAAGGAGGGAAATTGGGGGGTAGTTGTGGAGCGTGGGGCTGCGGTGCAGCTCATCTGCTCATCGCATGTTTCAGGGGGCATGCGCGCGTGCTGCTCAAGGACTTGGAGAAGATTCGGCCGAGCGCCATCATCGATATCATTCGCAGCGGTGAAGCCATGGCTGTCAAGGATACCGTGTCTACGGCCATCAAGGGTAGGTATATCAGCTCGCAACAAAGGTTTCTGTGCATTGCGTCACTTGTGCGCACTCGCGCTTGTCGATGCTGGCGCTGTGGCCTATTCCCTGGTTGTCGTTGTGGGTGGTGGCTTTGCTGCGGCTGTTGATTTATTTTTTCTTGCTCTACATGCATCCCTGTCCTGTGGCACACTACGTCTTCTTCATCTTTTTCTTTTTCTTGGCTTGTTCATCCAACTGATCGCGGAATGGTGTGGCTGGGCGTGCCGTCCCCCCCCCCTGCTTGAGGGACTCAACAAGGGCATGCCCAAGCTCGCCATCGGTAAGAAGGCGCACGAGCTGCGATTGCGAGCCACCGAGGGCACGCCGGAGGAGCGCCCACTGACGGTCGAAGCCATTGGCTCTACGGTACAAAATTTTGCCGCCGCAAGCGCGGATCCGGGTCCTCGCAAGGTCAACCCCAAGCACGTGGTGAATGATTGGTGAGCCAAGACCGGATATTTCGCCATGCGTGCTGTGTGTACGCCCCAGCGCTGTGCGTGCGGGCTGGTGATTACGTGTACCTTGGCAATCATCGTGTGTGGGTGACATGCCATTGAAGATTGAGATCAGTGAAGCACGACGTGTCACTGCTCCCATTCAATCCCAAATTGACATGTGAAGAGCGTGCCAGCCAGCGTTGTTGACTGTTTCGCATCATTCGAAAAATTAAAAATCATGATGGTCGAAATTATTTGAAAAGCAAGTTTGTGTGTCAATTTTCTCTTCTTTTTTTTTTTTTTCTTCTCCCCCTTTGGGAATGCTGCTGTGACTTGAGGGCGGGAGCCGCTGTGCGAGTATTCAGGGGACGAAACGGGGGCCAGCACAAAATAGATTGGCCTAAACGGCTGGGCGCCCTAGCCGCGCGCGATTACCAATATTATGGCAACGTCAGACCCACCAACGCCGCTGCGGCGTGAGCTTTCCAACTCGTCTGTCTTGAGTCGGCTCCAACAGACCATGGCGCTACAAAACTGGTCACTCATTCTGACAGCCCTGAGTGCGCTTTGACACCCCTTGACGCGCAAGTGCAACCCTGGCCAGCTCCCCTTTACTCATGCCGGCTGCGACCCTGGCTGCACTGCAGGTACCTTTGCATCCATCATTTACTTTTACCATGCGCTGTCATTGGCACGCAACTCATCAGAGGCATCCATCTTTAACACCGTGCACTCGGAATACTCGGCTCCCCACATGCTGGAAAGGTAGCTGCATCAGTGGCATCGCATGCCGCATGCCTGAGCATGTTACCAAAGTGGTTGAGGTCTGATCTTATTGGCTCGGGCTGTCGCTGCATAGCTTTGCCGAGCTGGAAAACTTTGCAGAGGCCACTTTAGACGGGAACGACTACCAGGCACAGTTTGCCAAGGAGGTGGAAGCACGCAGCGAGTATGGGCGTGAACTGCAACACGCTCGCCGCCACATCCAGGCCTGGTACTCAAAGGTACGACTTTGACGGGTGCTTACGTGGGATCAGCATATCTGTGCAACAAGGCAAGGGGGACAAAGCGCGCTGCACCGCACCAACGCTGGTTGGGCCCATCACCTGGATGGAAACTTTGGCATGGGTAGGTGGCCTACTTTCATTCTTTCGGATTGCTCCGGGACCACTTTTTGCGTGCCTTTCCTGGGCCGGACCGGACGCGCCACTTTTTACGACTGGTAGAGCCCTTGGCGACGGTGGTTGCCCAACGCCAGGGCACACCCCTGCCCTCGGTCTTTGCACATTTTCGTGAATTCTACGGGATTGAGGGCGACGCCATGGCTGTGGACTTGAATCGTGATGAGCTCTGATGGGGCAGACCTGATGACGGTGACCAACCACTGGGTCAAATGTGAGTCAGGCTCAGATTGATCTGCTGGTCATGTTTGTTTGCATGCAGTAAAATCCCAACAAGCGGTGCGTGTGTCTGTGTGTGTCTGTGTGTGTCTGTTCATGCCCCGAACCATCTCACTTCTTGGTCGAGGCGAGGTCGAAAAGAATATGGCTTGAGCCTGCACAGCACACGTGATGGCGGGCTGACATGAGTTTGGTTATGTTTTTCAAAAGAAGGGCAAGGCCCGAAGGAGATGGCAGGGTTGACAATGGATACGTGATTGCCTGCTATTCTAGAGTAAATTACGTACACTGCCAGTGTATCAAAGAAGCACAAAAGGAACAAAGTGTGGCACTCAAAGCAACAGGGTGTCCACTGCACCCCCGTCGATGGCTTGCACGTGGGAGCAAGGACAAGAACCTCACACACGCACACGACCAAGAGGGAAGAACCTGATGAAGATACAAGTCAAAGAAAGAAACAAGAAAAAGCTGAAGCCTATACTACTCATGCACTAAAAGGAAGACCCAGGGTCACTGACGGGCTCTAATCATTGGTGCTCCCGCGCAGCGGGGCATGGGGTGCCGGCTCTAAGTTGGGCAGCAACGTCGAGGAGGTTGCGCAGCCACTTGAGGATGCGCATGACCTCCCAAACGCGGGCGTCAAGTTGAGGTGCACTCGAAGCAGCTAGGCTGGAAAGGACTAGCGCGCACTGCGCCAGGATGCCAGGGAGTTTTTGCTGAAGCATGCTTTCTTGGTAAAAGTCGTCAGTAAGGCCCAGGTGAATGGCAGCTGCCCTCACTTGCTTGATGACAGTCGCACTCTCAGCAAGAAGATGCAAGGGAAGGATGCGCAAGGCTTGGATCCATGAGACGCCAGTCTGAGTCTGCGAGGTGACGGTTCGTGTCGGTGCCTGCGCACTGGTCGCTGTCAAAGATGCTGATGCTGATGCTGAAGATGCTGAAGATGCTGAAGATGCTGATGCAGCTGCAGTCGTCTGTGGAGCGGGGGTGGATGTCGTCATTGGCCAAGAGGGAAAGTGTGGTGAGAGGGGGGCTGCCGTGTGGCTGGGAGAGGAGAGACTAGTGGATGCATGGCCAAGCCAAGAGGTGTGGGGCTCGTTCAAAAGCGTGGTCGGGGGATGGGTCAAGGTGTGATGGCGGTGGGACCGCTGCGATCGAGGCAGAGCCATGTGACGGTGACGGCGATGTGGCAGTGGGGAGTGTGCTCGGGCTCGACCGGCGTTGACCAGGGTGGCAGCCGTGATTTCAGCTTCGGCAGGCGTCAACTCGAGGCTGGCACGTGAGGAGCGAGGACAGGCCAACCGACCATTGGGCCGCTTGGCACGCATAGGACCACCGCAAAAGGGCAGGGAGCGCATCGGTACGGCCAATCGGGAGGCCCGAGAACGGCGGGATGGCACGGGGCGAGCCATGTGTGGTGTTGGCTCGCAGAAGTAAAAAAAAAAAATGAGCGATGGAGCCCAAGGCACTCGTGAAAGAAAAAGAAGAGGAGCAAGAAGAATTCAACAGATGGATGCCCAAAAAAAAAAGGGTGGTGGGGCTGATGGTGGTCCCTCGGCGCACCCTCGGAAGCAATGGAAACAACGGGAGATCTTGCTAGCTGTCAAAAGAATGGAGCTGTCAAACGAATGGCAGTTCTAGCAGGGATGCAAACAGGACAAAGGCAACGGGATGGGAATGCGCCAAGCCCAGGTCGTTCTTTGAATTTGGCGGATGGTGGACAGGGGGGAGGGTTTTAACGTAAAAAAAAAAAAAAAAAGAGAGAACGGCAAGAGTCCTTTGAGACTTTGATCTTTCAAAAAAAAGAGGGAAGTGTGCAAGGGCAGCCACAAGCAAGCCAGGAGAGGGGAAAAATGCCTCTCTTCAAACATCGGTTTCCACCACCAGTCCGGATTGCCGTTATTGATCCACAACAACAATGCTGTATCAAGGGGATCAAGTTGACGCGGGTTTCGTGGCGTTGCATGGCCTTAACAGCGTGGATAACTGTCGATAGATAATTGGGAATAATGGGTCGGTTCATTTGAGGTCGTGGCGCGCGGCACGCTTGATGGGTTGGGTCCAGCGAAAGCAAGCGGAAGTGAGGTCGTAGTGACTGGTGGTGACAGGGTCGATGAGCACGTCACCAGCTTCTCAACAGTGACCCAGATGAAAGAGATGGAAAAAAGGAGACCAAACGTGGAATGATTCGGGACGGACGGGCAGTTGGGCTGGGGGGTTTTTTTTTTGGCTGAATGCAGGAGAGCAGCCGCTGCCCCCAGCCCCAACACCCCAAGAGTACTAATTCATTGAACATTGATCAAGTCCAGGAGTTGGGGAGGCGGAGGGAGCGTGCCAGTTTGTGCTCATCGTGGGTCCAAGCAATTTTTTTCGCTAAGGCACAAGGGATGATGATCATCAGAAGCCCCCTATGCGCGCCACAAGCGCCGGCGTTTTTGTCAAAGCGTTTTCCGCCGAGTTTGGGTTCGGCAAAGCGAAAGGGTGACAGATCCGGTTTGGGGTTCTCAGATAGTGGTCATCAGATTGGTGACTTGGCGTATCACCCAGCAGCCCCAACCTTGATGCTGGGGATGCGAATAGATTGGAGCAGGATGCTCACCATCTGAAATGCCTTGTCTCGTATGTCCACGTGGAAACAGAATGCAGTACTGTTTCTTGCATGTGACGTGGCTCCCTCGGCGATTTCGCGCCGCACAGTTGGGCGGTGCGGAACCCCATGGGGTAGAATCTGACCCAACCCCACTGGTGTCACAATCGTGGATTATGTCGTAATAATGAACAGGTATTCATCATACTAAAAGTCACTCCTCACCTTCGGCACCACCAATCGGATTATGACGATGCGCGCCGCTCCACGACCTGGCTCAACGCGATGACAAAGCAGGCCTTGCCCGGTACTCAATCACAGCTCTGCGTGGTCTTGGCACGCACCCATGAGTGGCCTTGGTAGAATTCTGGCACGCTTCCGGGAAGATTTTGCGACTGCCTTTGGGCCACAATGTGATGCGGGACGATTTGGTTTGGCTACATCAAAGATTTGGAACCCGCAGGCAGCGGCCCAGAAAAGCCTTCACAGGACACTTCTGACTCGCACGCATATCGGCTGAAGCTGAAAGCCACCAGCTCAGGGCTCGTCCACGAAAGTTGCATCAATGACTGGAATGTCAAAAAAAGGTGTTGACTTGCGCGTCAGATCAGGTCAGATCACCCGACTCTCTTCCTGCCAAACAGTGTCGCCCTTGGCAGCTGATGAGTTGCTCACCGACCCACCCATCCAGCCGAAAAACAGGACTGAGGACACACCAAGTCTGTTGCGCCGACCCCGTTCCCGAACAAAACACACCCCTTTTCTTGGCTCTCTACACACACACACAAGACGCTCTGCGCTCTGCCCAGGATAGAACTCACCCTTCAATTTGTCGCCGCTCGCGCTCTCTTACCCCTCTTCGTAGGGTGGTTGGCCACGCCAGCCGACCTCTCTGCACGATTGGACCGCGTCACGTCCTCAACGCCATATCCCAAAATCGCACCAATGGTTTTTGTGGTCGACGCTGGCTGGAACCCGCCAAGCCTTACCCTCTTTGTATGGGAACCCCAAGACCCATGCACCCCATTCCGGTGCCAGCTTTCCAAGCGAGCACACGGAGCCTTGCCTACCTCTTGCCCAGGCCTGCCGTTACCCCCTTCCCAACCTCGGACGCTTGCAAACGACTGGCAAGCGCGGGCACCTTCGTCTGGCCTCGTCTGGCACTGTCTGGCCTCGTCTGGCCTCGTCTGGCACTGTCTGGCACTGTCTGGCACCTGTCTGGCCTCGTCTGGCGCCACCGCACCTCTATTCTAGATGGCAGCGCCGCACGACGCGAAAGCATCCCATCCATCTATTCACCATCTACTCAGCACGAAGACTTGTCGCCCATAGCATTAATCTTACAGCCCTACCAACTGAAATGCGCACTAAAAGCTCAAGTCGTTGTGCGCGTTTTCTCGGCTGCCGAAAACGCGCAAGCAGCGATTGCTATGGTAGAGTTGTTTATGAACAAATATGGCCGTTGTGGGCGCTTCAAGGTTTCATCGAAAGAATAATACATGTATTGATTGGTTGGGGAAAACGAGGAAGTGAGCAACTCGTTGCTACACGCTAAAAGAAGAGTCGATATCGACATCTAGAAAAGCCTGGACCGCTGGGATTGGCTCTGCCAGTCCAACAGCATATGTATCGAAACAAGTAAGACGAAGCAAAGGGAAGCGTTGCCCTTTGCCCATCATCCAGTCAAGTGGCAGGTAAAAAGCCAAGAAACAGTAATCTCCAAAACGGCAAGTTAAAAAGTGCAAAAAAAATTCTAAGAACTTATGGGCAAAAAAAAAGCGGGAAAAGGTGAACCGCCACAGAGAAACAACATCCTGAACTGTTGCCGAAGAGGATGAGCTCAACTCGGTTGAGATCGTGTGGCAATCCTCAAACTGAGGACAAGTTGAGGCGTCGTTGTCGTCAGCACATTTGACGGCGACGCATGGAGAGCGAGAGCCGCTCCACCTGGCCCGCGACATGAAGAAGACTGCGAATCCAGGTCAGGATGCGAATGACATTGCCAAGCTCGCCGTCATCTGCCTGCTGTTCTTGCAAAAGGCCAGGAACCACGACAGAGCAGCGCCGAAGAAGCAGAGGTAGACGCTGTTCCAGGACGCCTGGCGCATAAATGGGGTGCGCCAGCCGTAGGTGCAGAGCCGCCAAGCGCATTTTGCGCACCAAAACATCCACGTTTTGTGACAGAGCATGGACCACCTGTAGTTCCAGCAGCGTCTGTTGTTGTGTAGCGCTCGGGTGCGCAGACGAGGCCAAAGTGGCAGTGGTGGGGGCGGCCGTGGTCGGCGCGGATGCGGCCTCAACTTCAACCTCTGCAGCGGGGATGCTGTGTGAAGTGGCCGAGCGTTTGGCAGCGACCCCGCAAGATTCGGATTCTTGCAAGGCGTTGCGTGCTTGTGTGACAGTGCGCTTGCCTGAGCGGCAGACTGGGGTGTTCATCATGATGATGGTGAAGCCCAAAAAGAATAAAAAAATAAAATCAGAAACGATATCGACAGCTTGCGTGTACGCCGCGTGCGTCAGCCGAAAAATGGACTCAAACGCAGTTTTCAATGCGTATCAACTTGTTCTTGGATCGGCCAGACGCAGGCAGATTGACTCAGAAAGGATGGGCTGGCTAATCAATGCGAAGGGTCAAGGTGCAAGTGGTGATGGAGGGAGTTGCGTTGGGCGCAGGGGTTGGTGGCAAGGTTGGTGGTGGGGAGCAAGGTGCGCGTCGTCGCTTTGCGCAAACAAGGACACAACCAAGAAGGGCAAGGAACAAATTTGGTGGAAGTGTCGCCCTATGACAAAACATACAACACACACAGATGAGAGCCAAGTTCAACCTCAAAAAGGGCTTCGGTCGTTGGGATTGTAAGTGTGAAAGCCAACTTCTAGGTCGTCCGACAGATTCGAGCGAACCAGTGTGACCTCACGAGGTTCCAGGCAGATAGTGCGAAACAGACTAACGTTGGTGTCAAAGCTCGGCTGGATGGAAGAAAATGCCACGTCGTTACCCTGCCGATCGACTGCAACCACTCACAGCGCGTCAAATGCCGACTGGGCTGGTGTGGGTGCGGCAGTGGCAGTGGGGGTGCTTGGGTTTCGTGTTGGATCCAAGCGGTGTGGTGTGTGAGGGCACCTGCCAGGGTGCCTACAGTCCAGCTTGTGATGTTTTGTGGCGCGCTGTGGTGGGGGGTGAATCATGTGGGGTATGGTTACTTTTGTCCCTGAAGGGGATGAACTGGATGGGCGAGCGCTCATGTGCAGGGTAGGGCTTGGGTGAGTTTGGGGCTTGATGGTGGGTGGTGAAGGCGCGGTGAAGGTGCGGCGTGGGGCTCTGGCGGGGTAACGAACCCTTCACGTACATGACAGATTTGTCACCTTCGCTTGCTCATGAGAGTGATATCGCGGACAAAAACAGCGCAAGTTGTTTCTGCTCAATTCTCTGACATTTCAAAGACAAAAATCCCAAGGGTGAGTTGAGGTGCCAAACCATGACGACCAGAACAGGAAGCCAGAACAGCCCGCCACCTCGGAAGCAACCAGACGCACGATACACAGACGGCGGTGCGCCAAACCGAGCTTGCTACCCAGCTGGTCAAAACAAGACATCACTGTCAAACACTACCCTCTTTTCCACCATTGCTGACTTGGGTTTGGCACCAGCCAGCGCTCTCAGCGTTCCATTCCAGATGAAATGCAGTGCCTCCTGACTAGTCAAAGCAACGCAGATGCCCTGCCCGCTCGGGCCACTGCGACTTGCCAGGACCTTGTACAAACGGCTGGACCCAAGATGTGCGCCCTGACTGCGCACTCGCACACGTCTCAACCATCGCTTCATACTGGATTGGTGCCGGCCACTGCACCGATTCGCAGCGTCTTGATCACATGAAGCAGATTTCACAGACGACCCCCGACTGTCGCCAAACGCAGAACGTTCTTCTTCCGGAGCAAACACAGCCGTAAGCCAGGGGTGGAAAAAGAAACGGCAGGTGGGGTGGATCTTTTGGGGGGCGATGCAAGTCATTCACCTTTGACACCGAAAGGGGGCGCATGTGCCAAAAATAAACTCAAAAGTCTTGGATCATAGCGTCGAAGGACTGATTTCTTTTCCGTGCCAAGACTGAATGCCCCCTACCGACCCCTCAACATGCCAATGGCTTGGCTATTTTTTTTGCTTTTGGGGCTGCAGTGGTCGGGAACGAGGTGGACCTCTGGTACGCTGCCAAGACCCATCCCCAAGGAGCCAAAGCACACACGCCACGTCCCCAAAAATTTGAAAAAGACAACAGCTCGTGCTCATGTGCATGCTCGTGCTCACATGACAAATTCCCAGACCAGAGCAAGACTGAATGCACTGCAGAGGGGGTCCAAACGCTGGCTGGGACGTTTCCAAACCAAGGGGCTTGGGATGAGGCCAAGTTAGCGCCAACGACTCGAACCCCGTCTGGCCGTTGGCACATCATGTCATCATGGCCAAGGAGGAGGAGTGGCTGAGCGAGGCTGGACACACACATGTGGGACCTGCACCAAGCAATACCCAGCTGGCTGCTGCCGGTGCCAACCCTCGAACGCCACGACATCGAGACTCAAAAATTGGGATCTGATTCGACGTCTTGTCGGGACATCGCTGAATATTCCTCCCGCAAACAATTCCCGCCACCGTCCGTCCGTCAGCCAGCCAAAAGCCCCAAGCCTCCTCTGTTCTCATGGTATTCTCAAAACATTGCCCCTGCTGAGCTTGAAACATGTGCTGCTCTTCACCTCACTTGTAACGACATGACCGTTGAGAATGCCCTGCCTCAGTGTGATGATCATGACCGCAGCGAACGCCAGCAACGGTCACCCAGACCCTGACAGCCCTCAAATCATGTCAACTCGTTAATTGACATGTGAAACAGCAATGGATCGCCAGATCATGCACAGACGCCAGAGGCAGAGGCGCCAGGCGCTGCGGTAACTTTATTCATTCGAGACGTGACCCATGAGCCGTACAATGATTTGTGAACATGAAAAAAAAAAAAAAAAGTTGAAAAACAACACACCCGATCCTATCGCGATTGCGTTGACTTGTAAGGTGACATGACATCGAACAAAGGCAGGCGTACAAGCAAAGCCAGTGAGATTGACAAGCTAGCTCGCCGGGCCGTCGTGATGGGCCAAGAGCTGGGCAAAACGCCCTCCCGAGCGCGAGCGCAGCTCGCTGGGGGAGCCCGCCTCCAACACGCGACCATCCTCCAACACCAGAATCAGGTCCGAATCCAGAATCGTTGATAGGCGATGGGCCACTGTGAGCACCGTCGCACTTGCAAAGGCACTTCGAATCGTGCCCTGTACCAGCTGGTCGGTCGCCTGATCCACGCTCGCTGTGGCCTCATCGATGCAGACCACCTTGCAACGGCGCAGCAAGGCCCGGCCTAGGCACAGCAACTGGCGCATCCCCACGCTAAAGTTGCGCCCGTTTTCCTCAACCCGAGCCTCGAGCCCCCGTCGCAGGCCTCGCACATACGCCAGCAAGTGACACTGTTCCAATGCCAGCCACAGTGCTGCGTCATCAAACTCACCAAAGGGGTCCAGATTGCTGCGCACTGTGCCCGTGAACAATACCGGGTCTTGTGGGATGGTGGCCACCCGGCGCCGCAACACCCGCAGCGGCACTCCACTGATGTTCACCCCATCCACCAGAACGCGACCAGCCTCAATCTCCGTCATGCGCAGCAAAACCTGAAAGAGTGAGCTCTTACCCGCACCCGTGCGCCCACAGATGCCCACCTTGGCCCCAGCCGGCACCACAAAGCTCACATCGCGCAAACTGAGTGCCAGGTTGGGTGCATATCGTAAACAAACACCTCGGAACTCCAAGCTTCCGGCCTCGGGCCAAGCTGGTGACGGCAGCTGCTTCGATTCCGGCCGCCCATGCGGGACCTTGGTTGTTCCAACTGAGCCAGCACCTGTCACAGCCTGGGGCCCAAGCCTCTCCGCTACTACATCGTCATACTCGGTAACTCGTTCGACGGCAATCATTTCCTTCTCCGTCTCGGTGAACGCAGATACCAGGCCTTGCAGGATGCCGGTAATGCTAAAGCTATACGAGATCCCCAGCCCCACCAGCCCTGCGTCGGCTGTACCAAATTGATGGCGCGCGGCGGCCAAAAAAGCAATGCCGGCCAAAATAGCCAATCCCAGCGTCTGCAAAAGCATTGACAACCAGCATGAAATGGCTGCCTCATTATAAGAGGCAACCTGATAGCTTTCCATGTTGCGCACAGCTACGTCCGTCACCGCAGGCCGCAGCTGTAGCGCTCGAATCGTCGTGCACCCCTTGAGCGACTCCTCAAAGTGTGCATAAATGGGGCTGCGTGACATGGAGTTGAGGCGCTTAATCTCCCGCGACGTTTGTCGATAGTACTTTTGCACCGTGTAATACATACCCGCCAACGGCAGCAACACCAGCAACATGTATGGCTCACTAAAACACATGACCACCAGGGTTCCAACCGCCGAAAACAATTGCGCCAGCAAGATGTTCAGCATAAATGGCAGCGAATCATCCACGCCGTAAACATCACTGCTGAAGCGATTGACCAAGCGACCCAATGGATTCGTGTCAAAGAACCGCACCCGTGCCCCCAGCACGCGGCGCAGCATGCGTGAGTGTAGCACCCGCGCCGCCACGACACCAGCATACGCAAACGCAAATGCTCGCCACAGCGTGAACAGTGTGTTGGCACCAGAAATGCCCCCATAAATGCCTAGATAAAAGGTCATGTCCGTGGCTGCAGTACTCGCGTTTGCAGCTTGACCAGGTAGTGACAGCGAGACGTTGGTCCCTTGGGTGCTGTTGGACGCGGTATGGGCCCGCGAAACCCAGACCGAGAGCCACCAATCAGCCAGGTTGCGTGATGACTGCATAAACAGCATGGCCAGTAACACTGTCACGCCCAAAAAAGTCCCGATCGCCTGCCAGTACTTGCCGTACACGACCAGCGCAACGGTGCCCAGCAGACGTTTTTCCTCCTCAAGCAGCTTGCCTGTGCCCGTCAGCTCCGCTCCCTGGCCCTCATCTGCCGCCGTTGGACTGGTGGCCGACCTGGTATCTGGAAGGTGGGCATCGTCGGCGCTGTTGTCAGCTCCTGACTGCAAGTCGTAGCGCAGCTCGCCTGCTGTCATGATGGTGTGCCGCGCCGTCTGCAGATCGATAGGGCGCAAGCAACCATTGGCCACCACAAAGAGACGGTCGGCTGCTGCCATGGCAGCCTCGCTGTGCGTGCACAACACGCAGCCATGCTCTCGAAGGCGTCCCAAGATGCAGCGCTCCAGCACCTCACTTGCCACAGCGGGATCCAGTGCCGCCAAGGGGTCATCAAGCAGGTACAATGAGCGTCGCTGGTAGGCTGCACGAGCAAGGCCCACTCGAGCCTTTTGTCCGCCACTCAAGCTGTGACCCTCGCTGCCCACCTCAGTCAAGTCACCGCGCGGCATCTGCTCAAAGTCCTTGAGCAAACAGCAAGCCTGTACCACCTGGGCGTAACGTTCGGGCTCGTATTCCTGCAGGCACAGAATGTTGTCTCGCAACGTGCCATGACTGATCCAAGCCTGCTGACTGGCGTACGCGAGACCTGTGTCCAACAGCGCAAGCGTGTACTCACGCTCACCCTGTGTACAGGGCATCTCGCGCATCAGAGCATGGAGTAAGGCTGTTTTGCCGCCGCCTGTAGCCCCAGTGATGACCACTAGCTCCCCTGGCTGCACCTCGAACAATGGCACGCGCAGCGCGTATGCATCGTGAGGGGCCCACTTGAAGGTGGCATTGGTCAAACGCAGATGAGGTCGAGGTGGACGGGACCCTTGGCCAGGCTCGGCAGGAGCCAGCACGCCCAGCCCCGTCCGAGTGTCATGGGCTGACTCGACGAGCGGCAGGCGCACAAAAAGCTCGACGCGCTTGAGTGAGACGTATGCTTCCATGAGCCCATTTAGGACCCAAGGAAAGGCATTGAGCGGACCTGGATCATGGTGGGAAATGCATATGAGAAAAGACCGTCCATGTGCCAAGCCAACAACTCCCTCTCATCACCATACAAACACACACACACACACACACACACACACACACACACACACACACACACACAAGTTGTGCAAAGGACAAGTCTCAAGCTTACCAATCAGAATGTTGAACAATGACAAGCTCGTGAAGACCTTGGCCGCGGTCAGCTCATGACCCAAGAGCACATAGGTGGTAAAAGTCAGAATGGAAATCAAAATCGGAGTGGTGGCCCAGAGATAGACGCAAACGGCATCAAGGTACTTTCGACCCTTCAATGCTTTGAGCTCGAGGGCGCGGACAGCATCGATGCGAGCAATAAAAGAGTCTTCCCAAGCAAAAGCCTTGACCACGCGAATCCCAGCCAAAATCTCATTCATCAAGGCCACGCGTGCATCCTTGTGCGTCATCATTTCCTTGCTTAACACACCCACGCGATCCATGATGTACTTGTTGAATGGAATCATCAAAATGGCAAACGCCAAGCCTGCGACAAAGGCTAGGCCCACCTGTAACGAGGGTTGTTCCCAAAGTCAAACAAAGAGGCAGCAAGTCATGTTCAAGATACGAGGATCGTCGAAAGAGGCCGTCGACCATGGGAAACCCACGACAGCGCCCGTTCGCCCTCAACACTGACACACCCACTTCCTTCTCGCTTCGCTTGACTCCTTTTGCATGGCACATGGATTCCCAAGGCTGTCAACGACATACCTGTCGATAAAGAAGGTAAAGAGCGAGGGCAATTTGACACGGCAGGCTCCAGAAAGCGTGAAAGCTGTTGCAAAAATTGATGATGCGGTCACAATCTGTGGACATTAGGTTCATGACGGCACCGGTGGTGCCGAATTCCTCTTGGACCTCCCCATCCTGCTTTGCTGTCGAAGTCGCCGGGGCCTGTGACCTGTCGCCCCTGTCACTGCGGGAGTTGGCCACTGGTTCAGCCATCTCTTCGGCGCCGTTGGCTACACGCTGTTTGGCCGTGGGCTCTTCCTCTTCATCCGTCCTCTCTTCACTCTTGTCATCCTCGTCCTCGTCATCTGGACTGGCGATGCGCGTACTTAGGGCCTTGCCAAACACGGAGGACATGACGGCTGCACCGACTGCCACTTGAACTTTGGATACCTACAGACGCCTCGGCATGTCGTGACATCCAGCAAGACCACAAGCCGGCCGCGGCGCGACCAGTGATACGCACCCGCAGATTGTAATGCACATCGCACAGCGCGCCGACGCCAAAAGCCACACACATGATGCCTGCAAGACCGAGAATCAAGTCAGAACAAACAGCAGCACAGCTTGAGTGTGAGGTAGACGCAGCAGTCCGATGCCCGCAACATTCGCAAATTGGCCAATGGGAAAAGTGCCGTACCTGCATAGAGGAAGGCTTTATGCGTGTCTCCCGTTGGACTCTCAATCAAATCCAACTGTCGAGGAGGGCCGATTCAAGGTCGCTCTCATGAGAAGGCTTTGCTGTCAAACGCGACCAGGGTGCAACCTGGAGATACTTACAAAATCATGCAAGACGATGGGGCCCACAAACTTGGACATGTCCGCCAGGAAACGCAAAATTCCCAGTGGATAAAATCGCCACCCATACTCCCTGCACACATGACCGCCAAAAGGTAAGATGCCAATGGCAAGAGCCGCCCACGAGAGTGCTTCACCCAGAGAGCCATGACAAAGGCGGCTTCGCGTGTCGGGTTACAACTGGCGTCAAGATATACGCCGGCATACTTTCACCAGTGCTGCACGAACCGGTTGAAAGCTGCCAACAAAGGATGGCCTGAGCTGCTCAAGGAAGGTAGCTGCATGGTCGGTACGAAACAAATGCAGTTCCGAGAAACATCAGAAATCAACCCCACAGGTTTTTCGGAGAAAGTCGACCGGGATTCGTTATCAGCGACAAAGAATTGCATCGCGTACAGTGTTCCGAAGGCGTGCGCTAAATTGGGCGCAGAGCTGGGCCGTATTGAGGGTTCCGGGCAGACGAAACAGGTCCAGCCACTCGAGCTGACGGCACTGCACGAGAAGATTGTCGTTATAATCAAGTGTGAGGTCTTGTAGCTGTGTGGTCAAGTTGACCGTCTGAAACGATGTTGAACGAACAAGCACCCTCGTGAAAAACATACCACGTAGCCATACACCATGAGTGGTGTGACCCATGTGAAGAAGAGCTTGGATAATATTGCTGCAAACGCGGTGCATTCACGAGCCCATGATGAGGGGCAAGGTGAGTGCGGCTTTGGCGCGGGGACATGCAAGCGCAAGGGAAGAAGCAAATCCCACGCAAGCGAGGTACTCGCTGTTTCTGCTATCTTCTCTTTGATGCTACCGCACCCCCTCCTGACAAGCCTTACAGCTTTGTGATTCGGCACTTCGGCCTTGATGGCGACAGGACGGATAGTCTCGCAAGCGCCGAAGCGCCTCTTGGGCGTCGCGGGCTGGCAGGAGGGCCGCACGTTCATCGTCATTGTTGAGTTCCGCATCATGGGGATCTTCATTGAGGCTCAACCCTTGCGTACTGGCAGGTCCGTGACTGCCTTCGTCGGTTGCCTGGACAGAGCGAGTGTCTGCAGTAAACTGGAAGAGACGCAATGGTGCCAGCCATCTTCCAGCCATGGCCACAAGAAACAGGACGCTGACACCACCAGCATAGGTCATCTTCAAGAGTTGCTCGTAATAGCTGAAGACATCGGGCTGTTGGAGCACCTGGTAGAAAACCATGGCCGCATGACCTACCACGGAACAGCGTGTGCAGTGGTCAGGAAGTCAAGAGATGCTCGCAAGAGGAAGGGAGCAGGGGAACAATTTTGGAGCCCAAGAAGTTGAGGAAGGTGTGGCGAAATTCCGAGAAAGAGCGTACATGTAGCCAGCATGTTGATGATGCGCAGCAGGGCAGGAAGGCGGTCAACCCGAGCGCTGCCACGCGTGAGGAGACACTCGGGCCAGTTGGAAAGCACATAGATATGCAAGAGCCATGCTGCCGGGCAGCAGGCCGCAAAGGCAACATGCCAGGCCTCGGCCTGATTCAAGACAACAGCTGCCACAAGCGGGCTGAACCCAGCAGTAAAGGCGGCCAGCAGCTCGAGCAGGTACAGGGCCGTGCTCTCCCAAATTGCTGCGTTGGACGAAGTTAGAGGAGGGACATGAGAAAGCCATGGCCCAAGTCTACAGGCAGCCCTGGCGGCAACGTTGGTCATGGCTGTTCCACAAAGAGGACGGATGGGGCCAGACATACCACTTCGGAGCACGCCGGGAGCCAGCTGAGCGTGGCGACGCCGGGCCTGGGCCTCGTGACCATAGTATAGGGCAAGCACAATCGCGAGGGCATACACGCCCACACCAGCTTGCTCAACCAAGCTCTCTGAAGGCGACCACATCCTTCCCTACCCCCGCCCCCGCAGGGACCACACGCCGTCCCCTCCGCACCGTCCCACCACCAGCCGTTGCCGCTCAGACACACACTCCGCAGCCAGCACCGCCCGTCGTTCAAATAAATGTCTGACAATCAACGCTCGCTTCTTGCAGCGGAAAACGTCTGACAAATGCGCTTGTGATAATTTGACTGCGGTGGCGTAACACAACGCTGCAACTTGTAACTTGCAACGTGACACACACACACACTCTCTCTCTCTCTCTCTCTCGCTTTTTATTTTTTTATTTTTTCTTTCGAGCACGACGTCAAACATCTGGCAGCGCACTCAGCAGAATGGCAGCTGTACCTCCTCAAGACGGGCCAAAGACAGTGTCTTTGAGCCAAGACGCTAGCATGGCTGATGCTACCCAGCTTTCCCAAGCTGCTGTGCTCCTGCGTAGCGCCCCCATGCCTGAGGATGCCGTCAAAGTCAAAGGTGAGACCCTCTTTTGCTGCACGTGAGACCCTGTCACGGTGAGACGAACACACTCAGGTTGGCGAATCTAATCGTGGGCGCCGGACGTTGGGGCTCCATAGGCTATGATTTTAACCAGGGCATTGACCACGATGCTCTGCTGGAGTCGTTTGCGCGAACCGGCTTTCAAGCCACCAGCTTTGGTCAAGCCGTCGACGAAATCAACCGCATGGTAGGCAGGCAGGCAGGCGTGTCTGGCATCCAACCGTCTGTTCACGCTGGCAAGCGCACCCCTGCGCATGCACCTGGCTGTCTTCCAAACTGCCTCACCAACTTGGCTGCACTCCTATGGTCGTCCAGCTTGATTGGTCGCTGGCCGATATTCCCGTGACCGAAGAAGACGATGACGATTTGAAGACAGAGGAGGCTCGTCGAAAGGTTCGCACGACCATCTTTCTTGGCTACACCTCGAATATGATCTCCTCTGGCGTTCGCGAGACCATCCGATTTCTTGTGCAGCACAAACTGGTACGTCGCCTGCCCCCGTGACCTTTTACTTTCCTGCTCGCAGTGAACCCATCAAGATGATATCCGCCACATTTGATACGCACGCTATCTGCGCATAGGTGGACGCCGTGGTCACCACAGCTGGTGGCGTTGAAGAGGACTTTATCAAGGTAGTCTAATTCACTCCAGTCTTTCCTCAATTACACCGCTGCTCGACCTGACCCCGCGCGACAGAGTCTCTCACCCACCCTCCTCTTTCGCAGTGCATGGCTGATACGTACGTGGGTGACTTCCACCTCTCCGGTACGGCCCTTCGCAAGCAAGGCATCAATCGCATCGGCAATTTGCTCGTCCCCAACGACGTATGTGATGTGACCTTGCTCTTTGGAGAGGCGCTTCAAAACTTGTGCTCAGACAACGAAACTGTAGAATTATGTCAAGTTTGAGCAGTGGATGATGCCCATTTTGGACCAGATGCTACATGAACAACAGAACGAGGTAGGCCCATCCGCCCTCTAGACTCACCCCCCCCTCTTTATTCCCCGCACCTGGCATTTCTACGATGCTAAATAACTGCACCGCTCCTCACACTGCCGTGTGTTCGGGACGCCAGGGCGTGGTCTGGTCACCCTCAACCATGATTCGACGCTTCGGCAAAGAAATTGACAATGAAGAGTCTGTCTACTACTGGGCCTACAAGAATGACATCCCCGTCTTCTGCCCAGCCATCACCGATGGTAGCATTGGTGACATGATTTACTTTCACAGCGTACAAAACCCGGGCTTGATTGTCGATCTGGTCGCCGGTAAGGCGCCTTGCTTGACCCGGTCTTCTGTCCGCGATTCCGCGCTTGTTTAAAAAAAAAAAAAAGCAAATGATTGTCATCAGCTCAAAGCCATTCTCGTAAACTTCTTTGCTGATAGATATCCGTGCCATCAACTACAAGGCTGAGTTTTCCAAGCACACAGGTATAAAAGTGAACCTGCGCGCGCTCGTCCCGGCCACGAGATGGTCCTGTTCGAGCTTTGGCTTTTTGTTCTCCTCGTTGAGTTTCTACCCGCTTGGCCGCATATACGGGACTGGCTCTTGCTCCGGCTGTTGAAGTGGTGGTATGGATCCTCAATCCGAGCAATACACGGTCTCGACTCAATAGGCATGGTCATTCTTGGCGGAGGCCTGGTGAAGCATCACATTTGCAATGCAAACTTGATGGTACGTGCACATGCTTGGACGCCATGGTCCCACCTAGACTGGCACACCGGATCGCTGGGCCTGCGGTTGTGTCGGCTTATTAATTGGACCCACGCACGACAGCGCAATGGTGCAGATCATGCTGTTTTTATCAACACAGCACAAGAGTTTGATGGCAGTGATGCTGGGTACGAAACTATGGTTGATGGAAGAAAGGCAACCATGCCAACTTTTGCAGGGTGGGTGCCCCGTTGGTTCTGGATGACTCATCAGCATGCCATTTTCTGCCAAACAGAGCACGACCAGACGAAGCCATTTCGTGGGGCAAGATTCGGCTTGATGCCAAACCCGTCAAAATTTATGGGGAGGCAAGCATGATTTTTCCGCTCCTTGTGGCGCAGACCTTTGCGCGTCGCGTCCATCCCAAGAAGTAACTACGACGCTGTCTTTATGCGAGCATTTTCGTCTCACACGTGCAAACATTGTTGGGCGCTGTTGTGTGAATTGATGGAGCCGATTTTCCTTCAACCTTTTTCCAGCTCCGACCTTTCTCCAAGTCTTCCGAAATCGCGCGAGACCACTGCCAAATCACGCAATTGCGGTCTCTATTTCTATCGTAATCTTGTAGGTTGAGAGGTTGTAGCAAGGAGAACAGGTAGCACTCAAAAGCACACGGGGAAAAGACATAAACAGGAGAACCGGTACACTCGCAGGCAATCGGCGCCCTCAAGCAGCAGCAGCCCGCACCAGGGGTGACCGGGCATCAATCACAAAACAATGGACACTGAAGAAGGAGAGGGGACAAAGGAGCGCCGGCACGAAGGCGGTCAAAAAACACGTTGGTCGTTGAGCAACCCATGGCACATCAAAGCGCGCTGCAGAACCACACGATGGCATGCAGTGACTCAGAGCAGATTATGCGCGTTGAAGGGAAAATTGCATCACGGCCGAATCCTCTGAAAAGCGCACGACGAGCTCGAGCTTGTCCCCCTTCTTGACGTGAAAAGGCTGTGGGCCCGTCTCGGTGGCCTCCTCGACCAGCTGAATGGCTTGGCCCCACTGCATGTCCCGGGCAAAGTTACCTTCCGTCGCAGACGGCTCCGTAGACATGACCTGTTTGATATACGCGATCGCGACAAAGAATCAAGAGCAAGGGATAGAGGGAGGGATAAGGTGAGCAGTTTTTACTGAGAGAAAAGGAACACCGGTGAGAAGGGGGGAGGGAGGAAGAAAAGTTAAAAGAAGAGGCCGAGGCAAAGGAAACATACACTCGTTTTCTCCCGCGAGTCGTAGGCCTCCCAATAAGTCAGAACGGCGTCCACACGGCCATCACATTCCGCCGTCAATTCAACGGTCATTTCCAAGGGCAGCGCCCCCTCCCCGTCGGTATGAAAGTCCACCTGTCATGCAAAACACCACACGGGCAACGTGGTTAGAGGATACTTGACGCGTACCAGGGCAGCTGTACGCCTCAGAGAGCAAGTGAAAGGGTAGAAGAGGCAAAGCTTCTGAGGCGGCTGCTGAGGCGGCTTCTGAGGCGGGGAATGAGACTGATGGTCGAAATCAACGTACATCAGCCACGGTCGCTTTGGACACGATCATCTTGTGTTTGGTGGAGCTAAAGCGGAAGCCATACTGTTTGGTGAAAACCAGGCTGACTGTATCTTGCAGGACGTTAAACGCGCGCAGATCAAGATCACCCCAGGATTGAACCGAGGTGATGCTCTTAATGTCCTCCGATTCGACCAGGGAGATGAGTTGACGACCGCCAGCGGGAATGATGCGGGCATCGGGCTTGAGCAAGCGCTCACGGGCATCCGAGATGTACTGGAGAGCACTCTCGCCCAACAAGAGCGTGCCCAAGATTTCAGACACAAGGGCATCCGCACGCTGACCACCAAGATGCTCAACGGTCACCTCGGTTGAGAGGGCATTGATGACGGTAATTCGATCGGCCAGGCCATTGACGGAGATGATGTGCTGCGCGAGTTGGGCCATGTGACGGTTGGCTTCGATGGCATAAACGTGCCGTGCACCGGCCTTGGCAGCCAACATGGCCAAGAGGCCAGAGCCGGTGCCAATCTCAAGCACAATATCCGAGGGCTGAATTTGCTCGGCCAGAGCGCGGCGGTAAAATTCGTTGCGTTCGTGGTCGTTGAGCATGGCATAGTGAAAATCGTTGACGGCTTCGACCAAGCTCGCGCTCTTGTCCGCGAGGCGTTCCGGCAACTCAAAGTGCTCTTCCAAGTCACGGCCAAAAAGCTCGGCCTGGTTGGCGTCGCAGTCCGCACCAGGCGGGAACCATTTGGGCTGAGCGGCCATCGTGCGATGACTCACACAAGACAGACAAAAGCGCGTGCAGGGCCACGAGCCAGCAGAGCTTTCGTTGCCAATACAGGGATCGACCCTCACACCTAATACACCAATGGCAGCAATGATGAGAAGGGTCAGCCCAACCCAAAACGAAGAGCAGATCAAGCATCACAACGCGCACGCTCAACCCTCCCACGCGGTCAACGCGCTCCCCGTTCACACGGAAGTCACCCCCACAAAGAAGACTGGCATCAATAATCCGCAACCACACCACCCAACAGACAGTTGTGCACCAGCACCCGCACGTCCATCAGGACCCATACCAACGACCCCCAGAACCCGCCACGGAGGAGATGGCGCACCCGAGCGCGCACCCGAGCGCGCCCCCCAGAGAACAAGAGAAGGCGCAAAACGTACCCAGACAAGCAGCAAAAGGAAATACCAAAAGACTGTGTGTGTGTGTGTGTGTGTGTGTGTGTGTGTGACTGTAAGCGCATTGCGAATAGCTTCCAACACGTGTCTTTGCGCTCTCTCTCTCTCTCTCTCTCTCTCTCTCTCTCTCTCACTCTCACTCGCTCTCATGTGGTTGAGGATGCCACGATTGTCTGACAATTGGCGATAAGAAGTGCTGACAAAAAGGTGGTGAAGCAGCACCAGCACCGCGAGAAGGCGGGAAAGGCAGTGCAGCGGCACGGTGGCGGTAAGGTCATGCGATTGGGAGCATGGCGCGGCCAGGGGTGGGCCGAGTTGTTGGCGCAGGGGCGGCGGCAGCTGCGAGGGGCTGGTGTTCCTGAGGTCGAGGTTGATTTGCGTATCATGCGCGAACATTGCCTGCAATGCGAGGCATCTTCCGTGGCCAGTACCCCCACCCGGCACCAGCGCATTGTCTGGCGTCGTCTGCTCCATCGGCGCGCGCAAAGGTGGGATGGTTTCTGGCTCTGTTATCTTGCTTAGACCCTCTCGCCAGATCCTCACGTGGCCTTTTGTCTGTGTTCACAGATATCCCCTTCAATATACAATCGGCCGCTGGCCCTTCCACGCCTGCGAGGTCGATTTGCTGGTTCGGCCCCCGGTGCTGATCCCACGCCCCGAAACAGAGGTGTGCCTTTACAATTGCGCATTTTCGCCGGATCAGCTGCATTTGCTACCACGCGCTGCCGCCAACCAAAAAAAGGGATCTGCGGCTGCATGCGTTGACTCATCACCTCCTCGACAGTGGCTGGTAGACCTCGCTCTGGCGTCCCTTGAGTCCAACACACGCCACATTGTTGATGTGGGTGCAGGCACGGGGGCCATTGGCTTGGCCCTGCTCTCAACTCGCCCAGGTGTTGAAGTCACCGCCGTAGAACCCCACCCTACCGCGCAAGCACTCATCCGCCGCAATGCTCAACGGTAACACCCTACGAATTCGCTGCCCACGCCCCGATTTCGAGTCTCATTTACCCAAGCCTGCTACCTCTGGTAATGATGCCACTGTGCTTTTTTCATCAGATTGGGACTAGCAGATCGCCTCCACGTTCTTTGCGGCAGGCTACAAGATGTAGCCTTGGCTTGGGATCAAGCGGACTTGATCGTTGCCAACCTTCCATATGTACCAACCACACGAAGCTCAACAGCTGCCGAGGAGATCAGGCATGTCAGCGCCGCACAAACAGATACCTCTTTGATCGCAAACATGAATGACAAGCGCTACCCTTGTCTTCTTCTTCTTCTTCTTTCATCCTCCTCCTCTTCTTCCTTTTTGTAGACACGAAGATGAAGGGGCCATTTATGCTGGCGAGGATGGCCTGGCTCAGATTGGGCCCCTCTTGCACCACATCAATGCTTCACTTGCACAGACAACCACCAAGCCTCATCGTTTGACCACAGTCCTGCTGGAAACGGACATTGCCCATGAGCAACTGCTACCACGGTCCGCTGCACTCGCCCAGACAAGCGCTTGACAGGCCAGCTAGGCACACGTTGTTGCCACTCACATTGCCATCCGCTGGAGACTAGGTGGATGGCGCAACACCAGCTGAGTTGGCTGGTCCATGACGCCGTGCTCCCTGATCAATATGGCCGGTACGCATCACGTCTGTGTGAACATGGGTGGTAGAAAAGGCTACAAGAACGGGGGCGAGAGGGAAAGTTCCACGCTTGAAACCAGCTCATAACGAAAAAAAAAAACTTTCAATTTCATGTAGACCACGCTTCCATCGCCTTCGCGTGCGCACTGTGGCCTCGCCTCACACTCAATAGAGACGTTTTGATAGAAAAATGACAGCACATACAGGGCAAGCGGCATGCGACCAGACAATGCTATCCGGCCCTAGGCACAAACAGTTGCTGCACGATCATGACCACCCTCCTTTTTGTTTCGTTTTTTCAGTTAGCGCGTGTCCTGCGCAAGAACAATCAATCTGTTGCCAATCGATGGTGCTATCACAGCTCCTCCAGCAGTGTGAAGAGGGCAAAGGCCAAGGGAGCACAGAGGGCTGTAACCAAGGCCCAGACGGACATTTCCAAAGCAGAGGCGCGCCGCGCCATCAAGCGGCGATTCATGCCACTGTACACGCATTTGTCAAAGCAGAGGATGTAGCACCAGAGTAAGAGGAAGGCATCATCCGTGCCAAAGGCTTGACGCACGCTGGTGAGGGAGAGCCCGAGATCAGTGAAAATGCTAAGCCACCAGGCTAGACGCGGCAGTACGAGAGCAGTAAATGCCAAGCCCCACGGCACAGGCAAAAGGCGGTGCGTCCATATGCGCTGCGTTGCGCGAGCTTTTGGGAAGAACACCGCCGCCAGCCAAACGGGTCCCGCGGCCAGTGCCGTTATCCAAAAAATTGTGCTTGCCGTTGCGGCAGTCAGTAGCGCTGTCATGCCAGCGATGAGCGGCACTTGTCAAGATACACGGCAGCCCAAGTCGACGCGCTTCAAATGATGCTTCAACCGACCCGACTGCCTGCCTGCCAACCCCTATAAATTGTTGCGGCTGCTGCCCTTGGCTGTTGCTGTTGCTGTTGCTGTTGCCAGCAAATGGATCCAAGGCGCTTAATTTTAACTCTCTCTCTCTCTCGCTCTCTCTCTCTCTCAAACTCTTTCTCTCTCTCTCTCTCTCTCTCTACTCTCTCTCTTCTCTCTCTCTCTCTCTCTCTCTCTCTCTCTCTCTCTCTCTCTCTCTCTCTCTCTCTCTCTCTCTCTCTCTCTCTCTCTCTCTCTCTCTCTCTCTCTCTCTCTCTCTCTCTCTCTCTCTCTCTCTCTCTCAACTCTCTCTCTCTCTCTCTCTCTCTCTCTCTTCCCATTGTCAACTGTTCCATTCGGATCTCTTCTTTGATTGAAACCGACGCGCCCGCCCTTCGCACGGGACGCATTCTCTTCGCTGCGCAGCGCCATCAGCGCCTTAGCACCGTGCCCATGGCAGGGCTTGGGTGTTGCTGGCCAGGCGGTTCGCTTGCGATTGTGATGATTGTCCTGGTTGCAACCGCGGCCGCCCAAGATTTTGGTAAGTCCAGCTGGACGACGCTTTTTGGGTTGGGAATGAAGGTGCCCTCGTCTCCTTCTCACCAGAGCGGCACCGTTGCCGTTGCCGTTGCCGTCGCCGCCCGGTTGCTTCCCAGTTCGCATCGGCTGTGAAGGCAGCTTCACCCTGACCAATGATCAGACATCAGCGCTGCTCCCTCAACTCCAACGTGGCATTCGTGATGCCTCAGGTGCCGCCGCGGTATGTCGACTCACTTGCCTACCCGTTATGTGCCCGACGCCGAACAATGTGCGCGTCACCGCTGACTGCATGGGCTTGATCCGGCAAACCGTTGACGTACACCCCTACCATTCGCACAGTCGCGCATTCCTGTGCCCACCATCCACATTGGCGAACTTGCCTTGACCATCTTCTTCGAAGACGTACGCACCCTGCTTCTTCACCCTTTGTCTGCCCTGCTGAAACCCCCTGCCCAGCCAGTCGCCCCTGTTGGAATGCTCGCACTCATGCATCGACACGCCTCAGTTGGACGACGACACACGCTCGCGCATCAAATCTGCTGTCGAAGACGGCTTAGGCTGCATCGGAACCAATCTCCCCAGCAGTATTGTCAACGGGGAGAGCCATAATGACAGCGAAAGCACGTTTGTCGTGCTCTTGATTAACCACAAGTCCTACGCTGAAGTCGATTCTGACGGCGGGTCCAATGCCTGGGTGCCCGAAGTGATACCAGAAGAGATTTTGTCCTCCTTGGGCACCAAAGACACTTCCACCACATATGCCGTCAACGAAATTGTCAACGCCTCACTCGTGCTGTACTTTGTCACCGCCTTTATCGGGATCGCCGTCGTACTCGGCTGGAGATTCAAGTCATATGTGCGTGCCCCCAGACCATTGTCCGCCTTGATGCACTTCGTTTTTGTTTTGTTTTGTTTTTGTGCCGCCCCCCTTCTGCCACCTTGGGTTGCTGCCACCCCCTTTGCGCTGCCCGCCTCTTTGCTCTTTTCTTCTGACACGATGGCCATGTTTTGCCATTTGTGACCATAGTGGATTCGCCTTCATCAGCGTCGTCTCCGCAAGAAAACAACAGTCAACGATGTCGAGTCACGAACCACTTTCCACATGGCGAACCCCCTCCGCTCGGCTAGCTTTGCTGCTGCCTCCACACGGCCTGAGGCCGTCACCGCTTTGTAAAATGATATGCTGATGATGCCACGCATCATTAGCATTGTGCTGTATCGAGGGGCTGTGTGCCTTGTGGATTGGCCCATGAGCCCCGCTTGTTGTTGTCTTTGCCTCTCATGAATAGTCAAAATTGATAGAACAACCATAATGCCACCACGCCAGACAGTCGGCCCTGTCCAACGTGTGTCTAGAGCCATTCTTCGCACAGACTCATTGAACTCGAGGTGCACTCGTCAATTCGGTAAGAAAAAGTGCTAGCGTAAGGTCTTTCAAAAAAAAAAAACATTCGCCCAAGGACCAGAAACGAATGCGGTCGGACCACCAAAACGGCCAGTTGTAAGGGAGGTAGAGAAAGAGGATGAGACTCTCATACATTGAAGGAAAAATCAAAAAATTAAAACCGGAAAGGAAGGGCGCTGCCCAACGAGAAAACAAGTGTTGCAAAAAGGAGGGGAGGAAAGACCGTGACCAGCAGGGTCGCAAACACCCAGCTACGCCGAGATGTACAAAAGCATCAGCTGGGTGTTTCAGTTTCAAAGCTTGTCTCGAGCTATTCACAACGAAGCGCATGCGCCCATGGTAATTGACGAGCAGGCAAGCATTGGATAAAGATCAGTCAAGAGGAAGAGGGAAACAGGCAAAGGGGATAAAATAAGCACATCAAGTACAACAAGCACAGCGGGCATCAAGCGCAACGCTGACACTGACACCGAAGAGTTATCACGGCACGATACGCAAAGGGAAGGTATATTAACAAACACCAACAAAGAGGCCACCCACGCGAACAGGGGCACTCAACACCAACTGAGACGATGGCTCGCCCGTCGTTTGAAGCACGTGGCAATGCGTACAACAAAGCTTGTTTAAGAACAAACACAAAACCCAAAAGGTAAACGGCGCATAATCAATCTGAGCATGTCGATCAAAGGCAAAACAAGCGCACAGAGAGACAAGGGGACAAAAGAGATGTAAAACAAAACAGTTTGATCAAAAAACCAGTTTGAGAAAAGGGAAAATACCAGGCTGCAATCAGACCCAGATAAGACCACGCCACCCAATGGATCTAAAAAAGAGGTGGTTGGACACGCCTCAGGCTTCCTCCTCTTCCTCCTCATCTTCTTCCATGATGACGAGACACTGGGTTCCATGGCCCCAGCCATGCTCCGACTCTGAGTCTTCGTCGTCCGAACCCTCGCCGTCCGAGTCAGTCTCTGACTCGTTTTCGGTATCCGAGTCCTTGGAGCGGGTGACAGCACCCGCCATCCGAGCCTGAGACGCGGTGCATTCAGGGGAGATGGCAGCCAACTCCGTATGCAGAGGCGAACCTGAGGCGGGACGACCCGTAAACTGCACACCAGCATCCACTGAGTTTGTGGAGAGGATCGAAGCGGCATCGTCAAAGCTGGGACGCGGCAAAGGCGTGGGGTTGGCTGTGGCGGGCACGCTGGAGGCTCGGTCCTGAACCGAGTGGACCTGGGACATGGAAGCGGCGTCAGCACTTGCGTGGCTGGATTTGGCATCAAAGGCAGTGGCCACGCTGAGCTCGAGGTAGTCGGTGGGGCTGTGCGCAGGGTTGTCGTCGGGACTGGAGCATTGCTCCATGGGTTGCGCAGCCTCAGCTTGAACAGTCTCGGCCGAGTCCAGTGGCTCCGCCGAAACGCTGCGCATCATGTGCATGTCCGAATCGACAGGCGAGGTACTGTTGACTCGCAAGTGACCATGACTGCAACGGTCAAAGCGACAGTTGGTACGATAGTCATCGCTATCAACGTCCACGTCGGCGTGAGCGTCATCGCTAGGTTTGATTGGTGTATCCGCGTCAGCATTCCTGGAAGCATCCTCAACTTGAACCAAGGGGCGGGCAGGAGCGGCCTTGAAGCTCGGGCGCAAGTTGGAGCGGCGTGACTGGAAGGTCAGGGAGTTTTGCATGCCTCGGCGGCGGCCCTTGGGTGTAGGGGGGTCGCCGTCCCGAGGTGGCGATTGAGCCAAGTTGTCAAAGTTATGCTCGGCGTGATACCGAGGCGAGAGACCAAAGGTCTCCGTGGTCTCCGATAGCGACTGTCGACGATGGGCCGGAGTGCGCAGAACGCTGTTGGGCTTCAAGCCCACGTTGAGGGACCGGCTCGGTGTGGTCGGCTGACCCGCTGACGGCACGTCCACGTCCTCATCCGACGACGTGTGGCCTTCCTCGCCGAGGTGGGGATTACCAGAGTCGTGCAGGAGGGTGAGTGGAGCAGGTCGGCGACGAGGACGGCGAAGTGACCCATGAGTCAAATTCTTGAGGCTTTCGACGGAGCGCGGAGTTGAGACTGTCTGAGTACGACGAAGACTCAGGCTGCGCGGGCTCCGACGAGCGGCGGAACCGCGGTCAGCAATAGCAGCCGCGGCACCAGCTGCAGCAGCGCGCTGCATCTTGCTCTTGTTGCGGCGAACCTCGCGCTCGGCCAGAAGAAAGTAGGTGGAAGCCAAGTAATCGTAGGAGCGATTGTCCAAGGCGGCGGTGACCTTTGTGGGGTCGAGTCCGGCGGCGCTCATGGTAGCCAAGATGCGTTCGTGCTGCTCGTCAGAGATGACGGGGCGACCGTTGGCATAAGGGGTAGCTGAGGGCAAGTTGATGACGACGCCCTCTAACCAAGGGTGCGCCAAGATCTCAGCCAGGGAGATGCGATCCGACGGTTCCCTACGCACAACAAGAAGAAGGAAGAAAGAAAAAAAGCGCGTGAGATGGCGGGTCAGCATCAAGCAACGAGGTAGTGACAATGATGGTCGAACGCCGGAAAAGAAGCAGGCCTGTGGGCACGAAAAAAGGCAAATGTGACTGACTTGACCAAAAGACGGGAGATGAGATCTTTACATTCATTGGAGACAAAGGCTGGAATCTCAAACTTGACATCGACAATCTTTGTGATGGTCTGATAGTCGTTGGGTTCCTGAAAGGGTAAGCGGCCGGTGACCATCATAAAGAGGATGACGCCGAGGCTCCAGATATCAGCCAAAGGTCCATCGTATGGTTCCTGGAGCAGCACTTCGGGACACGAGTAGCAGAGGGAGCCACAGGCGGTTTTCATCTTCTCGCCGGGCTTGAAGTCGTTCGAAAGGCCAAAGTCGGTCACCTTGATTGTCTCTTCCTCTTCTTCGTGTTTGCGGGTGGCAAACACGCAATTTTCGGGTTTGAGGTCGCGATGAGCAATGTGGTGCTGGTGGCAAAAGGCAACGGCTTCGGCAATCTGACGAAACAGCCGCTGGGCGCGGGGTTCATCCATCTTGCCATTCTTGGTGAGGTATTCGTAAAGGTCGCCACCCTCGCCAAGCTCAAGAATGAGATAAAGCTTAGTGTTGGTGTTGCAGACCTGGTAGAGACGAATGACGTGCGGGTGGCGGATGAGCTTCATCACGCGCACCTCGTGGTGAAGATGGTCGAGTTCATCATCTTGGAGCGTGGTTTTGTCAATAATCTTCACAGCCACCATGTCCTTGGACAAAACGTGTTGGGCCTTTTTGACGATGGAAAAGTGACCGCGACCGAGTTCTTCCTCAAAGTTGTACATGCCGACAAAGCCCGCGGGGGTAATGTTGGGATTGGCAGTCGCCAGGGCGACCGGCGTGAGCTGGGGGCGGGGCGTTTCCGGGTCCTCTGCTGCAGCGACGGTGTTGGCGCTGCCGTGTTGTTCGTGGGGCAAGAGATTGGCAATGGTTTCGTGGTTTGCGGGAGTATCCACCGCCGGTAGGGGCGAGGGGCTGGCCGTGGCAGCAGAAGCGGCGGGATGCCAAACAAATGTTGAGCTGTCCGAAGGTGTGGCTGAGGCGGCACTTGACTGGGGTGTGGTTGGTGTGTGCGGTTCAGCGGGGGTTTGATTCGCAGCGTTGGCGGTCAAGGGCTGCTGCGCGGGGGCGGGGGCGGGGGCGGTTGGCTGTTGCCCGTGAAGGCCACCGGAAAACTTGAGCATGGGCCCTGCGCCATGATCAACGTGGGGGCTACGGTGGGAGATGGCCGGGGGCATGGCTGACGGTGAAGAGGCACCCCCAACAACCATGCAGGCACGTCGGTTCAACACGACGGGTGACGGCGCTGTGGGGTTGGACGGCAGTTGCCGCGGATAGTTGGGGCATGAAAGAGCCTTAGACAATCAGGCCGGCGCGCATTCAAGCGAGTTGCTCGACCCAAGAATACAGTTCAGCGCGTCCTTGGTGCTAATGTGGTGCAAGCAGAAAAGAGAAGCGCCCGAGCCAGGCCAGGAGCAAGGACCAAGCAAGGCCCCAGCCACACAAGCGGAGCAAGCAAGCGGGAGGTGAGGTGAGGTGAGGTCGAAGCGAGGTGCAACAACAAGCGTCATCACCCACAGAACATCAAAGCAAGCAGGTGAAAGCGACCGAATTCTCTGCTGGCGGCGAGGTTCTCACCTTCACCAAGGAACAAAACGCAACCCGCAGGGAGCCAGCGCCAAAGCCAGGAAGAGGAACGGCGACCGAGAGACCGAGAGACCGAGAGACCGAGAACAAGAGAGAGCGAGCGAGAGAGAGAGAGAGAGAGAGAGAGAGAGAGAGAGAGAGAGAGAGAGAGAGAGAGAGCAAGGTCTCTGTTTCGGAAATGGCAGAGGGGTCGGGGGCTGAGGTATCGACAAGGTGTGACAAGGTCAACAACGCAACGCAACCCACTGACACACAGACAGTAAGACAGAGAGAGACAAAAGAAATCCAAAACAAACAAAAGAAATCACACACTCACTCACACACACTACACTCACACACACGACCTGATGCACAGGCAGAGCATTCCAAGGGGTGGTGGTTGACGCTACAACACCCACCACCACCACAAACACTACAACAGCAACATAAGCGATGACTGTGACTGTGACTACGCACGACACGAGACTTTTTCTTTTGTTGTTTTGTTGTTTGGTGCACCCGTTTAACCACCCACGACGTGTGTGATGGGGGTTGGATATGTGCCCGCGGTTTCTTTTGTCTCATTGGTGATTTGGGGGGGTTGTTACGTATGCGATATGTCAGCTTTCTTCCTGCCTCAAGCATGGAGCCGTGCGATGAGGAGGGAGGACGACTGGGAAACGAGTCTTCCCTTGGACATACCTGTCTGGTCTCGCATGGGCAACCCTGTGGCTTATTGCTTATTGAAGGATTCCAGCTTTGTCTGACAAATACCCAAACGACGGCGGGGTACGAAGATACGCACACGCCACAAGCCACAGCGTTTGCGTCTTTTGCAAACGAAAATATCTCAAAAACCCCGCTGCAACCATTCAGATTCCAGCAAAATACAGAACCCGAACTCAGTGAGAGGTGGTCTGCTAGTCTTTGGGGGGACTGACAGGTCTTCGGATCCGTGTCGGACTGGTTGGGGGGCGGCATACAAGCAAGCAGTGTCTCTCACTACTTCCGCACGCACTGCACCCGATCAACTTGGTCGCCCGCACCTTGGCAGAGTCAGAGCCAGCAGCCAACCCCCTGATAGCTCACCCCTAGCAGATCGCACGCACCGAGACCGTTTCCATGGCCCTTGAAAATCAGACCATCCAAAAGCACTGGGATGAGGCCGTCGGCCGCACCACCATCTCCAGGTTGCAACCACCCAAGATCTATCCTAAAGAGCCCAAGCCCAACAGCACGGGCCTCTACATCCGCTACTACGACAAGATTGACAAGGCGCACTGCTATGCCGTGGCCCTGTACGACCCGAGTGAGCTCCCGGGCTCTGGTACCCTACACCTCCGCGCCCTGGAACGATTCATCAAAGAATATGATTGCAAGGTCAGCTTCTGCCTCGGCTTTGCCCTCGATGAGAAGCTCATGGTGAAGCGCAACTCCTGCTCCAACGTCAAAGCCACGGGCAAACGCGAGATGGACGACAAGTGGTACTTTCAGCTCGTGCATATCCTCCAGCAGCTCGGTCGTCGATTCACCGACGTGACTAGTGATGACCCCAGTGGTCTGGCCGTCGCGATGCAAGGCATGAGAATATAACGGGCTGAGCACCTCTTATTCCCCAGCGACCTGGTGCCGATGCTTAACAATAATCAGCAGCACCTCAATGGCTTGCGCCCATGCTGAGCGTTTTATGGTGGACATGTGCCGCTTGTCAAGCATGCTGCCTTGTTCTTGTTCTTGGCATGTGGCTGCTGCACTATCGTTGTGTTTGGATGTGTTGCGAGTGTATGATCCCGCTATTCGTGCTCCGGACGACTGGCCTCGTAATTGAAATAGCGAAAGAAAAAGACGCTAGAGCTAAAAGCTAGACCCAAAGATGAAAAATTGACCAGACGTTGTCATGCCGAGAAAAATGGACTGGGTGCTGCACAGGCTGTTCATACAGTTTCACGTTCAACAATATTCATATGCAAGATCTCATGTATTGACCCGCTTCTCGCTTTTGATCAAGGATTGCCCGTCGTCCAGATTCCGAGACTGCCGACATGCGTCCCGATGTCCATAGTCTGCAGCCGATACAGCAAGGTACCCACGGCAGTCACAACCAGAAAACGCCAAACAACAAAAAATAGAGAAAAAATCACCGAAAATTCAAGCAAAAATAGTGACCAAGTCAACACAAAACTGATGTTGTCAACAATTCACTTGGCCGAAGAGCATCAGCTGGGTCATTGGCGTTTTTTCCTCCAAAAGGGAAAAGAGGCAGTGGGTCTGTCTCCCCCGCTTCCCTGGCCCGCAGCAGCACCCACCCGCACAGGGGGCCGGGCTGACGGCTAAACGTCCTTTGCAACGTCTTCTGGTCGTGACACGGGGCCTTCTTACAGGGCAGAGTGGGAGTGGGTTGTGTCAGGCGGGGCAAGATCCTTGACCAAGACACACACGCGATCATGGCGGATACCATCAGCATCCTCGGCTCCCTCTACGATGAGCCCGATGGCACCATCACCACCGGCGGCGAGGGCGGTGGTTGGGATCTCGATGAGTTTGATGATGGCACGCACGGTCAGTCGCATAATCACCCGAGTTGTTCACTGTCACGTCAGTCAAGGTCACCCCGTCTCACTGGGCTGCCACCACCACGCTTGTATTGCCTTGGCCCAACACAAACAGACAAACTCCGTAAGCGCGAGCGGCGCCTCATGAAGGAGTTTCTGGACACGCACGCGCAGCAGCTTGTTGATGTCGAGGATGTCGTGGATGATGCTATCGGCGACGGTTGGGATCTCAACCTGGATCCCATCGCCCTTGATGTATGTGCAACACGGCTCCCCACTCTCCCGCAAGACGCATACACGCGCTCGATCCCCCCCACCCCGTCGCCACACACACAAACGGGGCAGTCGCCTCACAAAAGTCACACCAACGTCCTGCTGTCACAGACCACTCCCCACGAAGCCGTCGACGTGGTCAAGCTCGTCTGGACCGAGAACCAGGTCAGTGATTTGAGCAAACGTCACGCGTCGGTGTCCACCTCTGTCGCCCCTTCAGCGAAGACGCGCGGCTTGGATTCGGTCTCGGAAGACTCCTGCACTATATACGGCTCACCAGCACCGCGCGCTACATCCCTGATGTTTGACCCTGGGGATAGATCTTTAGCAAGGTGATGGCCACCTTTGTAGCCCTCTGCAACGAGATGCAGCTGCTCCAGCGCGAAGCCGAGGAAGAACTCTACGCTCCGCTCCACATCTACGGCGAGGGCATGCATGATGGCCAAGCCGAACAAGAAGGCGATGCTCAATTGTGCTTTGCGAAAATGCTCCCCGTCCTTCAACACCTGGCTACCTTTACGTCCCGCGTCGTGCAAGTCGTAAAGAACGTTGTACAGCAGTTTGCAATGATGTACACGTCGAAAATTTCCGCCCAAACGATCGATCCTCGCGGCGTCCATCTTCACACCGTGTTTCGAAACCTCGGCAATCTGCTCATGTGCATGGCAACCCTGGACGAGATCCTCTTCCAAAACGCGGTGTGCCACTGCTTGTCGTTTGCTGGACACGCATGACAGTCGTGACCATGTTCGAGCGCTCGTGACAGCATTCTCATGCATATCACAATCAATGTTTACGACAGATCTTGGCCCGCCACAAGGACCACTACAAGCTCATGCTCAAACATATCAAGAGTCACTCTGAGCAGTTCCAAACAACCCGAGAGCAGCTGATGGTACGTCTGCGTGGGCCTTGCGATCCCTTGCTTGAGCCACCGTTTGTGGTCCAGGCGCCAGGTTCCTTCAAAGAGGTTACGTGCCAACGTACCCGAATCTCACCATATCCATATTTCTTTCACAGCCCTTTGAGCAGTTTCTCAAAATTCTTGAGGGCCTACAAGATGGCATGCTCTTTCAGGTTCGACTTTAGCAAAGGCGCTCTCTCATCGAGTCTGCCCTTGCACAGCTCGCCACGATCTCACCCGGTGCATGGCTGACCTTTCTTCTGCTAGCGCTGCGTGGACCAGTGCTTTGACGACGATACGGTGATGGTGTCTCCCAACACCATTCTGCAAGGCGAGTTCCTCGAGCTCCTGCGCCTGAACACGGCCGCCCTGGAAGCGCGCGTGGGCACACCGAAGGATCGTCGCCACCGCAACGACTTTATGGGCCTTGTCTGCAACTACATTCTCTTTGAGACTATCTTTCGTAGTCAGGTATGCCCTATGCCTGATGCCCGATGCTCAAATCGGGCACGCACTCGCACTCACACTCGCACTCGCACTCGCACTTACGCTCACTCGCACTCACACTGCACCTTGATACTTAGGATCGACGTATGCTCAAGAGCATTTGGGACCTGCAAAAGCAATTGCCAGCCGTTCACATCTATGGCACCATCGTCGTCATGCCCAACGACTTTATTCTTCAAAAGCTCCCGCACCTCAAGGCCCTTGTCGACAAGAAGGTAAGGCGCATCTCTCCACCCGCTCTCACGCGCAATCATTTACGCCACACTGCTCGGGCAACAAATCGCGCCACCACTCGTCATCCCTGAGTGCTGTTCGCACCTGTTTGCCACCCACCTCTCGCGCAGGTGGTCAACTACAAGGCCGTGGCACAGGACTGGTTGGCGCGCAGAGATGCTAGCATTACCAGGTGCGCACACGGCTCGGCCCGCGACACCCCGTGCCAGAGTTTGCGCAGCGACCGTGGGACCGCCCTCATGCACATGCCTTCGCTGCCGGTCACCTCACTCGTAGCGAGGCCCAAAACATCTACCGTCGTGTGGTGGCTTGGATGGTACAGTTTGATGCCAAGTTTCGTCCTGAGATGTCGGACATGGAAATGCTCGAGGCGCAAAGCAATTTCTTGCTGCAAGGCCTGCTCTTTGCATACCAGATTCGCCACCTTTTGACCACCTTCTTGGTCTTGCACGCCGAACTGCAAGTCAAGCTCAATTCGGCACACGTGCGGGAAGTACTGCGGCTCGCCGAGCTGCTCAAAGCAATCCAACAAACGTACCATCGTCGTAGTCTCTTCGTTGCTCAAGCCATTCAGCAATCTGGCCAACACCTGGCTCAGACTTGCACCAATCTGGTGACCCAGGCATACGACCAGTCCACCAAGCGCGCCAACTTGCCGCCACGCGAGCTGGACGTGCAAAGCGCCCTTGAGCTGCTCCGTCGTTGCTGCATCGGTCCCTCCACCCGCCTGCGCAAGCTAGCCTGTGAGGTTGCCGTGCACATTGCCACGGGTTCCAAGGTGAGCCTTTTCCCACCTCTTGGCGGTAGCTGCCGTTCTTCAAGGCGCATTATTTGACACCATGTCCTGATCCTGTCATTTTTAATTCATAGCAATTTCCCCCAGCACACGTGGAAAAGTTTTTGCGAACCCGCGAGCGCCTGGACATGCTGCATTCCCTTCGCGACGAGTACGTCCTCGCGTCCGATTGCTGCCTGCGCGAAGCACGCCACCCTGGTTCAGAATTCCGCTTGCGGCACGGGGCGCCGCTACGAGCGCACCTTGTTTTTATGACGTGATAGCTCATGTAATTGTGCACTGGGCTCTTGGCTTCTCATGAATGGCCTAGGATCAATCGTGCCTGCGATGCATCATTTTTTTACTGGCATCGCCATCTCTTTGGCCTGTACCTGCGCGACATGTATCGGGAACCACTCGAGGCCTACCGCCTGCCGTATATGATGGCCACGCTCCAGGATTGTGCCATCGTCGCGAAGCGGGCGCAAGACTCCACCGGCGAGCCCATCCTGACCGAGTTGCACAAGGAAATCTTTGCCGAGCTGCAGCAGCACATCATTGAGCCGCTCTGCCTTGATATTGAGGAAGACCTACGCTTCCAAGCCCTCACTGATGCCGTGCACCGGCGAGATAAGGAGTCACGGAATCCACTGAAGGCGCAAACCAAGGATCTGGTGCACTTTTTGCGCCTCAATCCGTTGCGCTTCAATGGAGACATGCTCAACATTAAGCGTGAGGTGACTCACTACCTGGATCGTACTTTCTACAACCTGACGACGGTGTCCCTTTCCCTGTGGGCCAACTACGCCAAGATGCGTTCTGTGGCTGCCATCAAATACGGCCTCGACATGCAGGAGACCCACTTGCCCAGTCAGACTCTGGAACAGGGCTTGGACGTCTTGGAGATCATGCGCAACATCCACACCTTTGTGAGCCGCTACAACTACAACCTCAACAATCAGGTGCGAAGTCTCGTTTTGACGTTGAGCATGCTTGTACCTGCTCGTGGGATTGAAGCAGGGGCCAAACCCTGATGGAGAACCGTTGAGTTCTCATGCTATTCTCACCCAACAACGAATAGATTTTCGTGCAAAAGTCGTCCCCAAATAAGCATCTCAACACCATCAACATCCAGCACATTGCCAACTCCATCCGCACACACGGCACTGGTAAGATTGGCTGTCCCCATGCTGCGCAGCAGCCGTCAGGGCGGGCGAAGACGGCAGTCGTCATGAGGTATTTCAGGTCCCACAGCTTATTGCACCATCGCCACACTTGTACAGGTATCATGAACACCACCGTCAACTTCACGTACCAGTTCTTGCGCAAGCGCTTCTTCACCTTTTCTCAGTTCCTGTTTGATGATCACATCAAATCGCGTCTCCTCAAGGTGGGTGAGCGGGCCTGCATACCCTTGTCGCCGGCAGTTATCTATCCACCTCATGCCTGTGTGTTAGGATTGCCGTTTCTTCCGTGAGAACCGCGATGAGCTGGACCAGCAGTACCCCTTTGAGCGCGCGGAAAAGTTCAACCGAGGCATTCGCAAACTTGGCGTCAAGGCTGATGTGAGTCGGGTTGCGATGGGCGGTACCGTGAACGACAGGATGCAGTACAGGCAACTGGTTCAACGCACGCCCTTCTTACTGGGGGTGCTGCATTCTTGTCGATTCTTCCAATTAGGGCCGCACATATTTGGACCGTTTCCGAGAGCTTATCACGGAGATTGGCAACGGCATGGCCTACATTCGCATGATCCGCTCTGGCGGTTTGAACATGTGCTCCAACTCGATTCGCTTTCTCCCAGATGTGACGGATGTCGAGTCTTTTGTGGAGATGCTGGAAGAGGCCGGTGCGCCCGAGCCCGACACCTTGCAGGCAGCTCGGTAAGATCGTGCGCTCTATCTCTGATGAATGAGCTGAGCCGTGATGTCATGACGCGTGAACCTGTCCTTTCGAAGACTGACGTGCAAGTCTCGGCTGCAACCGTTTGTGTGGTTTTGGTAGAAACCTGGACGCTGTTGTCAATGACTTGGTGCAGCGTTTTGCCGAGGGCAGTGATTACTTCAAGGTGCGCAGCACTGCCCCACATCCTGACACAGATGCGCTGACACCTAGACACAGATGTACAGGCCGGTATTGGCACATGTCATCGCCTTGATGCCCTCCTTATTTGCGCATGATTGTGTCGGTAGATGCTGGTGGACATCTTCGCCAAAGAGTTTCGCGCGGACAAGAACGCCCACTTGAAGAACTTTTACATGATGGTGCCTCCGCTGGTGCGTACCAGCCTGAGCGACGCGATCGTGTCAAGTCCCTTTGGAATTATTTTGTTATGTCAGGTGTCATGCGCTGTGCTAGCTGCGCCGACAATGCTGATGTCCAGATTCAATTACCGCATTGCTTAGACGGTCAACTACGTGGAGCACATGATCTCGGCCAAGGATCGCATCACCAAAAAAAACAAAGACGGCGCCTCTTTCACTGATGACGGCTTTGCCATGGGTGCGCTCATGTCCTTGCCTTCCAGCCGTGCAAACGGAGCGATTATAAGATTCGCTCTCTCAATCAGAGACCCTTGCGCCTTTTCATCTCATTTGGCTGCCTAAATGGCTTGTTGGATGTGTAGGTATTGCCTATATCTTGAAGTTGCTGGATCAGTACGAAGCCTTCGATTCACTACACTGGTTCCAAGCCTGCCGCGCTCACTACCAGGGAGAAAAGGTGAGGCGGGGTGTCCAGATCGTTGACAACCTCGGCTCTGAACAAGCTAAAACCGGTCGATGTTTCTTTCTTTCTTTCTTTGTTATTTTTTTCCCTCACTTGGTTCTGGTCGTTTCCCCTGCATTTCAGTCTCGTGTGGTGGAGTCCAAGCGCACTCAGCGAGACGACGGCAAACTTCAAGAGGCCATGTCCCTGAGCCTCAAGCGAGTTGAGCGTTATCAGCGGGTACGTGGCATGTGCCTGTCTGTGCGGTGCAGAGGTCTTGTTGCGCGACCACCGTTGCGCGACCGGTACGGTACGGTCGATCAATGAAAGTTCTTACCATGCGCTGTGAGTAGGAGATGGACATGCTCTTTTTTTCACTGAGCAGCGCCCGCATCTTCTTCCGAGCCGATAAGGTAATTGCTCATGCGCTGGTGAATTTATAGCCAAAGGGCATTTGTTGGAAAGTTCATGTTCTGCGTGCACGTAGACGGCCGCCGAAGAGGCCGAGGAAAACTCTGTCAAGCAAGCGCAGGAGCAAGCACAAGCTAGCGCGGGTGAGGCAGCGGCTCCTGCCGCGGGTGAAGCAGCGTCATCGAGCGCACCTGCGGCGGCACCACCGGCCGCACCAGCCGCACCAGCCGCACCTGCCGCACCTGCCGCACCTGCCGCACCTGCCGCACCGGCAGCACCACCGCCACCCGCGGCAGCAGGAGCGCCACCGCCACCGCCACCGCCTCCACCGCCGCCGCCACCGCCGCCACCGCTCTAAGGGCGCTGGTATAGGTTGGGCTTAGATTTGTTTCCCCATCGTCTCCGTGTCTAGGCTCTGGTGTTTTTATTGTGTCAATGATGTCTGTGCTTGACACCGTCCCTTCTGTGTTTTGTTCGTATTAAGCCGTCAAGTTTATTAATGGGTGCTTCCAGAGCAATTCCTCCCCAATCTCGAGCTCTTTCCAATATCATGGCGTGCCTGACACGATCCAGCAAAGAGACAAGGAGATTAATTGCACCCACCTCATTCTTTTTTTTTGTTCTTCGCAAATTTTTTTTTTTTTTATGTGGTCATGAGTGACAATTTGTTGAAGCGGTTTAGCTACATTCATGGCGTTGACGGTCGCAGCAGCTGTGCTGCTGGTGCTCGTGGTCGGTGCCGTCTGTCAAGGTGCCGGGTCGGGGCCCGAGGCTGCGGTGAGGGGGGATCTTATCGAGCTCGCTCAGCGCTGCAACCAAACCGAATCCAGGCGCGCCATGGCCGCCCTTGAGCAAGTTCTTTACCCGTTCCAACCCCTTACACCAAGTGAGAGCTGCCCTTGGATTGTCGAGCACGACCTTTTTTACGAGCTGAATCGGGACGCGGACGTCACGGCCAAGGGTCAGCCAGCGTGCTTGTTTTGTGGCAAGGCCTTTGAGAATGCTGTTTTTTTGGACCAGCATTATCCGCGTCGACACCTGCCCACTTTTCTCGACCTGCCCAACCCAGACCGTCGCCTCTGCTTGGCTGATAGCTGCGACGTGCTTCAGTGTGCCGCCTATTCTGAAGGCGCCGAGCTATGGGCCTTTGCTCACCAGCCTTGTAGTCCCGGGCAGTACGATATGGCGCAGGTGCGGTGCCGAGCAACCATTGACACGTGTTTTCCCGATCACCCTCAGCACGCGGCCATGGTGGAGCGAATTTGCGGACGGTTGAGCTGTGCCTTTCACGAACATCTTAAGCACGAAACTCGTCATTACAGCGGGCTCGAGGTGACGCAGCTACTCCTGGCGGTCCTAGCCTCCTTTGTAAGCCTGCTCTTCTACCTCAGCCAGATCCTTCCCGTTGCTCCACCAACCGTGCACAACACGGGCAAGACGATTGAGGAAGTCAACATTTCTGCTTGGCTGCGCACATTGGCAGAGGGCCGGCAGCGTTCAACAAGCTAATGCCTCTCTTCAAATCTTTTTTCTTTCTTTCTTGCTTCTCATCAAGCCATGCCAGCTTGTGGGGCCTTGCTGTTGCGGCGTGCCGTCTTAAGCGAATTGTAGATCAGATCATCGACGCTTAAGACCTTCAACATTCCCTTTTCCTCCCTGCTTCTTCCGCACTTGGATTTGTCTCGGGCACCCTGGGACGGAAAGCCAACGGGCTCATTTGCATCAGGGTTCAATGAAGCACGGGTCTGGAAAGCATTCACACACAGGCACCAAAACAAAGCAAAACAAGACAACAATCAGCCACTGCAAGCAAAGGGCAATGCAGGGAGGGCACGAGGTTATCGGGATCGGTGCTGACGCGCACAGCGCGGTGCAGCAAGGGTAATTCTAGCTATGCAAAATCGAATTCAGGGTTCTCCAGAGGAAAATCATAGAGCGAGTCCTAGAGCACGTTTGCGCCGCAAAGCACCCGCGAAAATGAGGTGATGGCAGACATGCACTGCAAATCATGAAGACAATCGGCGAGTTTCAAGCGACAAGAAGAAGGGAATCAGACAAGGCTGGTGCAGGGGGCGATGGGTGACTCCACTCACGTTGTGGCTTGTTGATGTGCCAGCGAGCAAATCAGCCCGTGGTGTTAGTCTAGTTCAAGCCCGAGCATATGACACGGCCAAGAAGGGGTGAGAAACTTGCCTGTCCAGCACCCAAGACATGAAGCACTTCTCCCACCGTCACACGTCGAGAAATAAAAAAAAGTACCTACCCAGAAAGGACTTCAAGGCGCTTGCTGGCAGCCGAGACTGGTGTGGAGGCGTTGGTCGCCGTTTGCCGCAAAAAGCGTTTTCGAAGGGGTTGACTGGCTGATGCAGTCGTCACACTGAGCGACGAAGCCAAATCAGCGTTTGTGGATAGCGACTGCGCATCGCGATCCACGGTCGTTGAGTGCGAAGCTGAAATGCTGCTTGATGGAGGCGATGGCCGAAGTTGAGGACCGTGGTGGCCAGGCGAAACTTTGTCTACACGCAAGCGGTGTATATCTGTGGTGTTGTTGTTCAAAGCCTCTGGTGCGCTGCCAGCAGGGCTGGTTCGTTTCGCGCGTTTCGCACCAGGAAAGTCGGGGAGCTGACGGCTGGCCGATCCAGGTGCCACCGGCAAAACTTGTTTCGAAGGTATACCCGCCACGGGTGATGTATACTCAGACACCATGGCCAGGCTACGACGAGTGCGTGGGGTGGTAATGGTGCCCGCCGTGGCGGTCCGGCTATCGGTTGCCACACCAGTACTGGTGTTGGGCCCTGTTGGACGACGCAGGCTCCGTCGAGGGCTCCGTCGAGGGCTCGGTGACGGGTTCGCAAACGCCTGGGCTAGAGACGGTCGGTCTTGCGCGCGTGCCGACACAGAAGAATGCGGGTGCTGGCGGCGAGCAAAGGCTTGCGTTTGATTCGAAGGTCTTGGTGCTTGAGCACCATGCAAACTCCCCGGTATGGGTACAGGCACGGGTACGGGCACAGGCACAGGAGACCCGTGCTTCAGAGAGCCACGAAAACTGGGCGAGGACATGGGTGACAGAGACATGGACATGGGTACTGGGGCGGGAGGAGCCCGGACGGGTCGTAAGCCACCCTTGGAAGCTGACGTGGTGCGCCGGTTTGCCTTGTGAACAGCAGTAGGAGCAGGTGATGAAAAAGGGGAGAGTTGCTCCACTCCTGACGCTTGGCTAGGCGAACCTTCGGGGGCCATCCCGATCGTCGCCTTGGGTTGCACTGGAGTTTGGGCTAAAGGGCTCTTTGGAACATCTTGCGCGATCGTACCCGAACCTCGGTCATGAAGCGCAGTCGGAGGGCGACGAGGCCCTGCGGGTAAGGGATTTAAGATTTCAATGGCAGAAGCGCTGGTGTAGCCATTAGGACCACCTGGGCTGGTACAGATCGATGTCGGATCATTTGGGTCCACCTCTTCGGGATCTTCTCTGCTCCTTTCGGTGTCTTGGGCTTGATCATCCTCTTCTTTTCCCGGTGGGGGAGGGGCGATGGCGCCAGCTAACAGGGCCACCTCACTCACCTCATCATTGGTAGCTTGGCACGCGACTGGATGTATCGTCGCCTGCGCAGGGTCGACGGGCGACGGGGGCTGTGTGTGCACACTGGGCAGGGCAGCTTCGCCTAGTTTCGTGTTGCTCTGTTCAGCACCAGTACTGGGAGGCGGCTTGGTTAAGCGGCGGTGAAGTGTGGTTTCCTCTGAACGCTTTGGTGTTGGCTCATCGAGATCAGCTGTCGTCGCCGTGGGCATGATTTCCGTCGCCTGCTCTTGGTGCAACTGCGCTTCCACGGGTGACACGCCGGGTTGAGCTGCTGATGCTGGTTCTTGTGCAACAGTGGGCTTTTTTACTGGGTTGGCTGGGACGATTGGCGTTGGCGAGGTGTTGTTGTGAGCGTCATTCAGGGTGTTAAGGTCGTGGGTCACATCACCTCCATCTTCATGGTGTTCATGCTTGCACGTTGTGGCCAGCTCGAGCGCATCCGCATCCACCTGCTTCAGAGGCGAGTGTCGTGCCCGAGAGCGCTGGCTGTGTCGGGGTGGCGGCTTGCGGTCGCACGCTTCTATCGTCTTGTCCGATCCCAGTGCAGGGGTAACGGTGGGCAGCAATGGCAGGCCCATGGCAACGGGCACGCTGAGCTCAACTTCTGACGAGCTGTGCCGACGTCCCCGCTGGTTCGTCGTCTTGCTAGAGTCGGAGCGCAGAGACATGCGGCGGGTGATCCGGCGGGGTGGGTTGGGTGAGGGAGACCTTGCCGAGAGAATAGGTGAAGGCCCATTGTCCAAGTGTTCACTTGTAGAGGGCGATGTAGGTATGGTTTTTGATGGTGCCATGGGCTCCTTGTTCACTTGAGTGTTTGAGAGCTGCGTTGGAGCTTCTTGGGACGCCCTGGGCGCGAGCTGATCATCCGAGTGCGCTGAAGCGGACCGCTTGGCTGTACATGCGTGCAACACGCGGCGCGACCGACGTGGTACCTCAACAACCGCATCAGGTGCTGTTGTTGGGGTAACGCTAGGCGAGCCAGGCACAGTGCGCAAAGCATGCCGAGATGTTTGTGGCTGTACGGCATCTGGGACTGAGCCGCCCTGCTCAAGCTCTGCATGGATGGTCTCACTCTTGTCTTGGGCGGCAATGGAGTCAGCGATGGCCGTGGGTGGGGGAGACTGGGGTCGTTCAGGGGAAAGCAGGCGCTCACGGTACGTGGGCATGGGTAAATCGTCATCCCTCTCTGGGAATAGAGAAGAGGTCTCTTGATGGTCGCTGTGGCTCGGGGCCTCGATGGTCGAGGTTTCACTTGGCGGGCTCGTCCGAAAAACAAAGCTTGGGTGATACATGTCAAGCCAGGCGGTACATGGTTCCCACATGCGTTCCTGCGTGATGTCATCCGAAGTGTGAGCGTGGGCGAGTATTCAGTCAAAGATGTATGCGGTTGATTCTAGCATGGAATTTAAAATACATCAAGGCGTACGTTTTCAAGGTTGGCAAGGTGAGTGGAGTCCTTGAGATGTGCTCGTAGACCACTGTGATAGGTGAGGCGGCAGCATTCGCAATAGCCAGTTGCCTCTGCAGGTTTTGGAAGACTGCGGTGCTTCAGCGAAGCTTTGCGCTGAAGATCAACAGAAGGCCGGCACATGAGGGCATCAGCAAGGTTGTACCCCAAGACAAGAGCAAAGATCACACAATCACACAGACACACGGGGCGCTCGAGAAAGGGGGCGCATGTGCGAGAGATGAAGAGAAAACAACAAAAGATGACCTACGCGCTTTCGGCGAGAGCGGCTAAAAGGACTGCCTTCGTCTATACATGAGAATTCATCGGGAGCCAGTCAAAAAGGGAACGGCCATTAGGAAAAGTCGACGAGTAAAACAAGGAACCATGGCCGGTGCACGTGCGTGGGTGGCAAATCGGAACCAAGTAAACCAGCGTCCTTAAAAGGTGCCATGACAAAAAACACGGTAAGAGGCCAGGAGGTAGCCAGAGTTGGTCCACTTACCAGTATCAAAGTTGAGAGCCGGGAAGTGCTTGGGAAACTCTTTGTAAAACTGCTTGTAGTATGGATCATCAACTTTGAAAAATGGGTGTTGAAAAGTCTATATCAATGTCAGCCCCGCGTGTGGTGAGGAGGCGTGGCAATGCGTTTGTCACGTAAATGCAGACCATGAGCACGAACCAGAATCCTGGCGCCGCTGGCACGAGGCGCAGGGTTTGATTCGGTGGATTTCAGGTGCTCCAGTGGTTGCCTCAGCTTTTGGGCGAGGCGCGAGGTAGTTGGTAGACCGAGGTTCGCACAAAAGTCAGAAACACAGACAATTTCTTGACGGCGACCCGTGGAGGATGTCACAGTCAAAGTGCTCGTTGCAATGGAGGTGGCGCTCGTGCCAGCGATCGGGGCTGAGGTCAGAGCTGAAAGAGCCGCGCGAGTACTGGCGGCGTTTCTTTCAGAGGCACGCACGCCTGTTTCACGGACGGCTTTGAGCATGCGGTGTGCGTAGTTGCTGCCCAGCTGGCCAGAAGCCCCTGCATCACTGCGATATGGCGACGAAGCACGGGTTTTGAAGCAGATGGGTGTTGCTTGTGAGCACTTTAACAGATCAGAAGCTAGCGGGGAGACAGAAGGGTCAAAGCGAAGAGTCCAAGGCAAAAATCAAGGACACGGACGTATTATCGTGCTTGGAGCCGGGACGGTGCCCTCCACGGTTCACAGAAACGTCTTCATCACGCACAACCACAATGTGTGCGTCCTCTCGCTTGCTCTGCGATGAAGGAAGCAGAAGCAAAAAAAAAGAGGGCTTGTGATGAGCATGGGTACACGAATACAAAGTTATCGACAGCCACCATACAGAAGGGCGGGGGACCAGGATAGCAATGGGGAGGAACATCAGACACAAAGACCCAAGAGTCACAAAAAAAAAAATTAAAAAAAAAAAAAAAAAACCACTGAGAGGAAGATTATGAGCAGAAGCATGGGGAACAGAGGTCAACAAGAAGAGAGACGGCGTAGCCGCGGTCGAGGGCCACAAGTTCGCACCCGAAGGTCGGCACCCGCTTGTGCCACGGCATGTTGTAGCCGTTCTTGGAGGTTTGGCGGTACAATGAAAGCGAAAAAAACGCGCTTGTCATGGTAAGGGCCGAAACGAGGGAGTTTGGCAGTCTTGGTGGACCTAGATGCAGATTTGGCAGCAGACTTGGTCGTCTTGGTGGGCCGTGTTGCGGTGGCTCGCGCGCGGTGCTCTTTACTGGGCGGCATGACGGCGGGATGAAGCGGGGGGGCAAAGACGTCCTTTAATCACCACCCATCACGACGCTCGGAACGGAGCCAAAGCGGCTGAATCATCCACACAAGTATGCTCGTGATCCTGCAGGTTGAGGCAGTACCACAACCCAACACCAGCGTGGAAAGGTGCCTGCCAGCTCATTCGGCCGCGCAGACGCCGCTTTGCAACCCGGGCCAGGCTCAGTCTTCCTGTGCCTTCCCAGGCTCCCCCGAACGGACGTTCTCCCACGGGAGAGCAGAGGCGAGGATGCGAGTGGATGCTTGATCGGGGAACCGAACAGTAGGCTTGGGTAGCAAAGGCTCACAGGTATATCGGGTCAATGAAAGGTACGCTTCAGCTAGAAATTGAATGGTAACAGCAGCCCAAGTCTCGAGTGGCGTCTCGTCGACCTGGGCCAGCGACTGCCGAAAGTGAAGCTGGAGAAATTTCTTCTTGCTTGGCGAAACTGCCTGTCGCTGCTTATGCGATTGGGTTGAATCAAGCTTGTCTGGCAGCAGTCCTAGGATCGCCTCAAGCACGGGACCTCCTCCCAGACCTAACCCGTCCCTCGATCACTCAAACCAATGTTGCAGATGGTGACGCCGTCGTCGCAGCTCCTCGTCGAATCGTCGTCTGGGTGTCAGTTACAAAAAAAGAAGCAGAAAGCGCGCGCGTGTGTGTGTGTGTGTGTGTGTGTTGCTTTGCAACTTGAAGAGAACAAAGAGAACAAAAGACACTGAACTGTGCTCAGGAAGTATAATAATCAAATTAGGAGGAGTATATTGAGTGCGATATCTATCACACTATGAATGCCAAGGAGATGCGAGAGAGAGGAGAAAAAGAGAGAGAGAGAGAGAGAGAGCGTCGACTGTCGTTTTGCACCAAATTTTCCCTTTTTTTCGAGGAGCTCACGGCCAGCGGAGCGACGCTTGGACAGTTGCAGGCGGCGTGCCGATTTGACGCTGAGGCGGGGGAGTCAAAGGGGGCTGGTGTGATCAAGAGACGGGTGGATCGGGGTGGCTGGCGGCCTTTTGATTTTGGTTAACCGGCATCATGGGCGGCGGCGACTTGGTAAGCTGGCAATCAAGGGGCTGGATTTTGGGTTCTTGACAGGGTCAAGGTTGTGAGTCTGCCAAATTGCTTGGCTTGATTGCATCGAGGCACACTCACCCCATGGTCTGGGTGTGAACGGCGAGGATAGAACTTCAAGAAGAGCTGGCATCCGCACACGCGGGCCAACATTGAGAAAGTATGGATCGCCGAACAGAAGATGCTCGCGGAAAAGAGCAAGACACAGCAACTACAAAAGGAGCTCGAGGAGGAGCGTGCGCGGGAGGAGCTGTCACGCATGGCTGAAGACTCGGGTCACCGGTACGCGGCTGGGCGATCAACCAAAGGGCATTGGGTCTCTGTGCTTTTTGTGCATGAGTTGCCCGCTGCAGGTGTTGGAGAGCCAATGAACTTTTGGGCTCACATGAAATTTTGCTCTTCCCTTGTGCTTGTGTATCGCGCGTGTTGTGGTTGGTGGGGACCGGATCGATGTGAATGTGTAGCAAACGCGAGGAGAAAGTCGAGTGGATGTATGCGGGCGCCATGGGAGCAGCCGATAATCGCGACGAGTATCTGTTGGGCAAACCTGTGGATAAGACCGTGTTGCTCAATACCAAGGATGACGAAGATCAAATGGTAAGTTTATGGTGTGCTGGCCTGTTTGCTTGGTGTGCACGGGCACGCATGTGTGCTTTGCTGCAGAACGCTGGCTTTTGACGTTTGACGATTGGGGCGTGGTGGCATGGCAGGTGAGCCAGGTGGGGCAGGTC